TTAATAGAAGATAATATTATTTAACTAACTTATAAATCTACTTCTATTAGAATTAATATTAATTAGATTAGAAGTTTTTAATATTTTATATTTTTTATATTAATTTCTGGTAGTCTTTTACTTTACCAGGCCGATCTAAATATAAATCTATTTATAAAATTATATTATAGGACTTTACCAAGCTTACTAAAAAAAAATTAAGAAAAATTAATAATATATAGCAGAATTTTTAATAAGATTATTAGAAGATTGATAAATATATAATTCTTACTAGTTTAAAAACTATATAATTTCTATTAGTTAAGTAATATGATTTTTTTTATATATTTCTTAATATTTATTATAGAAGACATCTGTAAAAGTTTTTTCTATATATTATTAAAAATATATTAAATAATTAATAAACTATTCTGTTTAAATAAATATATATAACTGTAAATTGCAGAATCAGATCTGATTTAACTTTTAATTTAAAATTAGAAACTACTGTCTAAATCTTATAAAACCTACTTTATTATTTTATCTGTATTAATAATATTATTCTTCTATATTATTTCTTCCGGCTGTAAAAATATTATATTTTTATTATAAATAATCTAATCTTTAATTAAAAATCCATTATTTTTTAAAACAGGCGTTAGATTAATATATATAATAATTATTAAATCTAGTATTACTTTCTGTATATTATAATTAGTAATATATATATTAAAAATATTAGAAATCTGATATTTATAAATATATATAGTATAGATTTATCTAATATATACTAAGCGGCCGATTACTTATTTAAAAATAGCTTTTAAAATTAATAGAAAAAAAAATAAATATTATAATATATAGTTTACAGATTCAGTCTTAATAAGTTTATAAAATAGTTTATAATAAGAACTTTATATATACTCCGATTTTTTAATAAAATCTTCTTATAATATTACTATATTTAGATGGAGTAAGCTTAGAATATAGAGTTTTAATATTAAATTCAGCTTTTTTTAGAATAGTATAAAAATAACTTTTTTTTTTTAAAAAAATAAATAAAAATTAATATTTTTTTATTTCTGATAATTATCTGTTTTTATAGCAGCTGCAGTAATCTTCTAACTTTTAATAATTCTAATATTAGAAATTCTAATTTTCAAATTAGAATTATTATTTTTTATTACTAATTTTAATTTTAATATTATATTTAATACTGATAATGCTATAAGACTATATATAGAAGACTTTTATATTAGAATTATTAATAAAATAAATTTTAGTATTTAAAAACTATTTTATTTTAAATATCCAGATGTCTTATTTAAGTATTCGCAGTATATTTATTAAATAAATCTTTTTTAGACTTTTTTAAATATAAATAAATCTTAGTTATAAAAATGCTATAATTAAGATATACAGTTTTTCTATATTCTATCTATATCTTCCCGGGTAATCTTTATTTTTAATAAACAAATATCTGTAATAAGTAAGTTTAATATTTCTATAAATATTATATTTAATAAAAGTAAATTCAGATTTTTTGATTCTTTTAATTAATAAAGAGATATCAGTTCCGATCTTTAGTTTAATATAATTAGAAAAATTTCTAATACTGTTAAAAAATAATATTATAGATAATAATAGATTAAATCTGACTTTAAGCTATATATATATTAAAGTCTGTCTAAAGAAATTATTGTAAAGATAATATATTTTATTAAATATAATCAGTTTAAATATATTTTTAAAAGATTAGAAAAAGTCTGTTGGTATTATCTTTATCTTAATATTAAAAAATTTGTTTTTTTATATACTAGGTTTTAACTGTCTGTAGATTATAACAACTTTTTAAAATATAATAACTAATAATAATAACAGTATTAGTATTCTTTAAATATTTTAAAAAACAGTTATAGTCTTTTAATAATTGTTTTTAAATAAATACTATTACTCTGATTTAATATTATTTATTACTATAATATATCTGAATATTAAGATATAATATAATAGTTTATATTTTTTATCTTATTATTTAATTAGATATAAAAACACGACTATAAAAATAGGCCTTACTTTTAGATAATTATTTTTATTCTAATTAATAACTGTTTTATATCTTTTTTAAAGCTATTGATTATTTATATTATATTAGTTATAAAAATCTTTTACTAAAGAATTAATACTAATTTATATAAAAAATAAATATAACTAATTTTTATATTTTATTTAAACTAATATTATTAGCCAGAACTGCTCCGGTAGTTAATTTCTGGTTTTAAATTTATATAAATTAATTAATAGTAACTGGTTGTTAAAATTTTATTAATATATTTCTTACTATTCCCAATATATATAGCTTATTTTTATCTTTAATTCTAAGATTTTTATATATTTCAGTATAATTTTTAAATTAAAATTTAATAGTATCTAGCCACCGGTTCTGTTCTTTAAAATCTTTTTAAATTATTTTAAAATTAGTATAATTAGTTTACTATTATTACCGCCAATTTTATAATCCTACTCGAAGTTTTCTATCTGACTGTAGAATTTTATATTAAAAAAATTATAAAAAATAATTATTTTAATATTTAGAATATTCTTTTTTTAATATTTTAAAGGGGTTGTTAGTACTAATATTAATATCTTCTTAGAAGCTTCTATTACTTCAGTTATTTTATTTAAAATTATAGTCTTACTCTTTTTAATTATTTTTAGTTTTACTATTTATAAGATTACTATAATTAATATAAACTGTCAGAAAGGATTTTTAATATTATAAATAGTATTTTTTTATTTGAGAATTATTCTTTTTTATTTACTAATTAATTTATTTATTTAAAACTGGCTTTTATCTTCAGCTAAATCTAAATCTAATTAGACTAATTTTTCTTCTTTTACTGATTTATTAATATCTGTTTTATCGTTACTGATTTTTTCAGTATTAGATTAAGACTTAGACTAACTGTTATTTTTTTTAATATAATTTTTTTTTAATTTAATACTTTTTTTTCTTTTTCTTTTTCTTATCTGCTGTCTATTAATATATACATCCGCCTGTAAAAGCCTTTTATAATTAGATTAAAAACTTATTATCTAATTTTATTTTAAAAATTACTATATCTCTACTTTTCTTTTAAATTTATATAAATATATATAAACTACTGATAATATTCTTAAATATCTATATTATATTATTTATTTAATTTTTAGTAAATCTATACTAATAAAATATTTTATTATTCTAATTTAGATTTACTAATTTTATCTACAGTATAAATATTATTAGATAGTTTTTTATTTTCTAATTATATTTCTGCAGGTTTCTTTTAATATATTTAGTTAGATCTTATATTTTATTTTTAATTATTTATTTTTAAATAGCAGTTAAATCCAGACTTCTTTTAATCCAGCTTATATATTTAAAATATTTATTCTATAATTTAATTCAGAAAGATTTAATTATATTAGATTAAAGTTATTTTATCTATTTTTTTTATTCAGAATATACAGCTGCTTTATTAACTCTTTTTTTATAAGAATTTTCTTTACTTTAAATAAAACTTTAATTTTTACTTTAAATATTTCTATTTATTCTGTATTTACTTCTGTACTTAAGATTTAAAGAGTTTCAGTATTTATATAATAAGAATAGATTAGTTTGATTTATCTATAAAAAAATTTCGGCTTATCAGAATTCTAATTAATTAAATTATTTATAAAATTATTATTATTTTATTAAATATTAATAACTGTTTATAATAGAAATATCTAACTATCTGCTATACTATAATATATTTAGATCGATAGTCTGATTATAAAAATTCGAAGATATATTAAATATAATAGATAAGATAAATAAGATAGATAAAAGAAGTAGAAGAAGTTGTAGATAGATAATTATAAAAAAAAATTGTGGAGAAAAGATTAATAAAAATAAATAAAAGAAAAGAGATAGATGAGAAGAGATAGATAAAAAAAATAAAAAATAAAAAAATAAAAAGATAAAAAAATAAAAAGAAAAAGAAAAAAGATAAAATAAGAAAGAAGAAATAAGTCGAAAAAACTATATAAAAAAATATAAAGAAAAAGATAAGAATAAAAAAATATTAGTAGAAAAAGAATTATACAGTCTGAACATTTTTACTATTAATATCTATAAAATAAAGTAAATATGAACTTACAGTTTTATTTTAGTTTAAAGAATAAAGAATAAAAGTAGAGAAATAAACTGCTTATAGTATTAGATTATTAAAAAACAAGCTCTAAAAAATATCTCAACTTTTTAAGAAGAAAAATATAACAGTTATTTACTTTAATATAATTCTAAGATTAGATTAAAACTTTATATTATTATTTAAAACTTACTGACTAATATTAATTAGTAATCTACCAGCGGGAATTAGTAGTAATCATTTTGCAACGAACTGCAACCTCTCGCAACCAAGGCTATCAAGCCACTATGTATGCACTAGTAAGGGACTACTGTGCATTTAATCTACCATTTTTGCCCTGCTCAGTTTTGATAACGCAATCTGATTAGGGTGAAAACCTCTACTAGGGTTTGAATATATTTATATTTCTATATCACTTTTTCAACACACCATCAAATTTACTACCGTTGAATAGGGTGATTCATAAGATATCAAGATCGCACTATACAAGATCTAGGGTAGATATATACATAAATACAGGTTAGAAATAACATCTTTGAGGGTCTGTGCTATTTATAGTATCAACCCTGGCGTGTTTTCGCGGTCACGGAACCCGCTAGTAACACCCATGACGGGAAGAGGCGCCACCGGCTCGATAAGATCTCTCCACTGCCTGCTGTCATAAATTACAGGATGTATAGTGAAAAACGCCGAAAAGGGCGGAGATACGCCGAAGGAAACGCCGGTCCGACCCCCCAAGACACGTGCCGGCCGCTAGTCTGATGCTGACCGCAGTAGCAAACTGTCAACAACACTGAAACCTGCTCTGCTTACTCTCAACCCTTTTCTCACTTTTCCCAGATCCGTGCAGGACCACCTATTCCCTTTCCCATCCCCCTCATCCTTCCTGTTGCGCGCCTTCATCAGCACCGCAATGGCTGTGTCTCCCGTTGCCCAGAACAAGGCTGAGGGCCTTGGCCTTTACGCGCGGTTCGCCTTTGCCGGTGCCGTCTGCTGCTCGGTGACTCACGGTGCCTTCACTCCGGTCGATGTGTATGTTGTCCATCTCCAGTATCGAATATTCCTACCTTACTAACACACCTACTCCTACAGTGTCAAGACCCGGATCCAGCTCGACCCCGCAACCTACAACCGTGGTATGATTGGTGGTTTCCGGCAGGTGATCCAGAATGAGGGCGCGGGGGCTCTCTTGACCGGTTTCGGCCCAACCTTTGCCGGGTACTTCATGCAGGGCGCCTTCAAGTTCGGGGGCTACGAGTTTTTCAAGCAGCAATCCATCAACGTCATCGGTCTGGACAAGGCCCGTCAGAACCGTATCGCGGTCTACTCGGTCTCTGCCGCCTGCGCCGAGTTCTTCGCCTCGATCGCTCTCTGCCCTCTCGAGGCTACGCGTATCCGTCTCGTCTCCGAGGCTGGCTTCGCCACTGGCCTGTTCAGCGGGTTCGGCAAGATCCTCAAGAACGAGGGCGTGGGCGCTTTCTACCGTGGTTTCGGTCCTATTCTCCTGAAGCAGTACGTTGGGCCATTGCGAGACTTCGAGAGTAACAGCAGTCACTGACACGATATAGGGTGCCCTACACCGTGACGAAGTTCGTGGCCTTTGAGAAGGTTTCCGAGGCTGTTTTCGCTCGTCTGGACAAGTCCAAGCTGTCCAACGGCGCCCAGACCGGTGTCAACTTGGGATCCGGTCTCATCGCCGGTTTCGCGGCGGCCATCATCTCCCAGCCCGCTGATACGATGCTGTCCAAGATCAACAAGACCAAGGGTCTCCCCGGGGAGAGCACCGTCTCGCGTCTCGTCAAGATCGCGGGCGAGCTCGGCATTCGTGGTTCCTTCGCTGGTCTTCCCACCCGTCTGTTCATGATCGGTGGTCTCACTGCCGGCCAATTCGCCATCTACGGTGACATTAAGAAGGCTCTTGGTAAGTTCGGTTCTCTTTCTTGGTGGATCACGGATGCTGACTTTAGACGCTTAGGTGCGACGAATGGTGTGGAGATCGCCAAGTAAGAAGCTGCTGTAATTATGTACGTTTGATATGTTCTAGACAGGGGGGAGATGGTTGGTGTATAGAGATAGATGTAGCCAGACCTATTGTATTTACTGCACTACCCTTGAGCCAGATACGGACCCTGCGGACCTGCTCGACTGTTATGTAAAACCACAGGCTGGTATATAAGGATTGCACGCTGTGGCAGGCATTATCATCCTCTGAGTCCCCGCATAAGTGCATGTATAATAGCGTTGATGATGTGGACAAACAAGCGCATAGAGGGGTCTAACGAAAGCCTGCTGCAGTCTAGTACATCTCGAACCGAACTACGACCAGCAGACCCTAGACATAGTAACTCCCACCGGACTGCGCGATCCCGCCACCCTTCAACACCCCCGAGCGCCTGACAATCCAACGACGTTGTTCCCCTGAGACAACCGCTAGCAGCATATCCCCCGCTAATTCCTCGCCAACATGTTCGGCCCGCGCGCACACGCCAGCCATCCCGACGCAGGGACATGGACCGGGCGCGCCCATGCTTCTGTGACCCCACAGCCCCACAGCAGTCCCGTGCCGAGGTCCTGGAGATCAGCGCGCTTTGGATCGGGTGTGGAGGCTGGGGCAGGATGAGGAGATAGACTGTAGGCCGTGGGTGGCGGTCCGGAGGATATATAAGTTTTAGGGTTGAGGTTGAAGGCGCAGGCATCGGTCGGCTTCAGGAGTCGTTGAACTTGTCGAAGAGATGATGATGATGATGGTATCATCCCATCGAACGCGAAGTCTATGAGGAGCGACTGCTCTCTTGCAAAGCTTAAGGGAGGATACAAAGGTCTTTCCTGTTCAATAAACGGAGCAGTTGTGCTGCATTAACGTACGATAGAGTGGATAATTGCTTCCTGAGTGATAAGGCGATAAACATGCTCCGCCGTCCCCATTCATATCCGCCCGGGAATTGCCGCGTTGCTCCACCCGCTCCACAGAGGATAATGGTTTCATCCGAAAATCACGATGATTTATGCAGGCGAATGACTGCTCTGGGATATGAACCATGGATGGAGATACCACCAAGTGGGGCTCACCCCGTGGCCTCAAAGCGGATTTGGTGCTCGGGGCTGACAGGACGTGTTTTATCATGTATGAAGAATAGATCAACACATCTAGAGTTGCAGAGGCCTGGCCCAATGACGGGTGAATAACAGACCAATATCAAGAATCCGAGGCTGGGGTCTGACCACAGCCCAGGTGAATGTACATAGATTCAAATCTAATCATGATCGCTCCTTGAACCTGTATGTCAGGCGCCAACACGCCATTCCGAGGCGCTCTGATCTACCAACTAGAACTTGAACCAGTACACCACTGTGGAATGATTACAGGGAACTGGCGCTCGGGTCCAGCACAAAACATACCCTCAGCTCGACAAGACTTTGCGTTCCTCTGCTCGTTTTCTGTCTTGTTTCTTCTCACTTTTAGTCATCCGTCGCAGATGCCGACACCGGGCCAAGAAGGCGTGCAACTATGGCAGAGCTGAAAGCGTTTCTGACAGAGAGCGATTTTCTCGAGGGTAAGATAGTGTTTACTATTTGTAACGGCTTTGCAAAATGGACGCCGCTAATGATTCCCTCGAATCTCAAGGACTCACAGCGCTGGACAGAGAGATGGGCTCCGACGAGTTCATTGTTGCGTTCGCCCCAATCCGACTGATCGCAGCCGGCGGGTTCCTTGCGGTGACATATCTCCGGAGTCGTGAGAGCACGGGGGATATTGATTATCTCATTGACCCGGAATTCGCTGGGGACCAGCACATCCAAGTGCCCCTGCAAAAGGCCATCCGGTCCGTTGCGCGCCAGAAGGGCTTCCCAACTAATGGATCAACGAGGACATGGTCAATTTCGTCACCAAGAAGGCCTGGCAGACTCTCGTCGAAGAAGCCGAGAAACAGAATATCGTGCTTTTCAGCGGGGAAAACATCGAGATTCTGGCCGCCCCCCTTGAGTGGGTACTGGAGCGAAAGCTGAGGAGAATCCATGCCGCCGACCGGGGCAGAAAGGCGGAATACGACATGGAGGACGCATTAGCGCTTCTCAAGCCCGCTGAAGCTACGCAACAAAGCCCCGCTTGACCAAGAGTCGGTCCGGAGGATGAACATGAACGGATTCGATGTCCTCCCGAGCGACGAGACCATGCAACGGGTCTCGCGCGAGTACCAGCGGAAATAGAAAGAGGATATCTTCACATGATATCGGGCAGGACTACGCGGAGCGGTGTGGAGACATCGGGGAGACCCGTGAGGCAGGATCTGGAAGCGTGCTTGGGCTAGATTGTGTAGAGCCAGCCCGTGTTGGTGACGATATTACGCCGGGCAAAATGGGACTCAAGCCATTCTCCTCGAGCACTAAGTTTCCATCCGTATCCAGCTTTTCTGGGGGCACAGACCGTCTGAGTAGATCCTTGTCAATCGGAGCTACCTTCCTCGTCCACTCCGGCAACTCTTCCGCGACGTATGGGGGCCACGAATGCTCGTCCGTTTCACGGTACACGTGTTCACCACTCCTCCGTAGGCCCAGACTAAGCCGCCAGTTGATCGCTTGGTGTAGTTCCTCGACGATACACGCGATTACGGCGTAACGCAGCGGGTCAGCATCCTTCGGATCTGGGATGTGTTGGAGCTTCCAGCCTGATCGATAGAAGAAGTATTCCGTCTCGTAGCCCATCAGAGTGTACTTGTCAGCGAGAAAAAGAGCGTAAAGCCGGTAGATTGAACGCAGTGGCGTGTCACGCATGCGCCAGATGGGGATGGCTCTGAGGTTATGCAGATCCTCAAAGAGATGCTGAATTATCCCAGTCCCGTTCTGGTCATCTTCGATGAGGGCTCCGAGAGAGAATGGACCGGGAACGTTGAAGTACCAGGATGGATAGGGAATGAACATGCGTAGGAGCGTCAGCAGGGGGTGTTTGTTGTGTTGCTTTAGCCGCCGGAAACTAGCGCGTAACTCCAGTGGAGACTCCAGGTGGCGCAGCCACCACCGGAAACGTCTCCAAAGAGAGATATTGGGTCTGGGGCGACGGGGTGGTGCCATCCGATGGTAGACTAGTGCTTAAGTTGATGGCTGGGTGAAATGGTGGAGGGAAGGGGAGGAATGCAGGCGGATTGAATGTGGTGGTAATGGTCGACTGTGGAGGTGGTGGCTTGTTTGCTATGTTTGCTTCGTCTGCGATTCTTCACTCTGTTTGCCATGTTTAGACTGTTTATGCTATTTGGATGTGTCAGTCATACTATCGCTTCGGCCCGCGGCCAATCTACCCATGCCGTGTATTCGAAAGCATCATTTCTCATTTCTTACTTTATCATCGACACCACATACTGAAGACGCCTTTGCACCGGTTCAGACAATTTCTCATATTCTCAAAAAATGTCCCTACTCCGCTTGCCAAATGACGTGCTTTTTATGATTGCCGACCTGCTGACTGCTAGAGAAGTGGTTCTGCTCGTGGAAAGTGATCCCCTCTATCACTTCCTCAATGGCTACCTACTCGCCAGATACGTCAGAACGCGGGGCCGCCAAGGTGCTATCAATAGTGCAGCCGCGCACGGCGCGGACGAGGTGGTGCAACGACTTCTGGACTCCGGGGTGAATGTGAGCTGGAAAACACCATACTGGTCGTGCAGCAGCCCGGATCCCGATGCGCCATATCACCGGCAGATGACACCAGAGGTCCGGCAGACGTTCAAACTGCATCCCATCCTCTTTGCGGCTGGCAACGGCCGGACCAGCGTTGTGGCAAAGCTCTTAGAGCACGGCGCTGACATCAACACCAAAGACCCGGGAGGCCACAGCCCGCTCCACCTCGCCGCCTATCATGGTCACCTCGAGACCGTTCGCATACTGGTCGAGCGCGGGGCCAATCTGCTGGCCGTTAATGCCTCGGGGGCGCGCGCAATGGGCCTTGCGGCGCATCGGCGCTTCGACGAGATCGGCGATTTCCTGGACGGCGCTCTCCAGCGCAAATACCCGTCCATGCATCGGGTCCGCCAAAGGGAAATGCACCAACTGCTGTGGTACGCAGCTCGGGAAGATGATGTTGATCGCGTGCGGGATCTCCTTGCACGAGGCGCCGAGATCGACTATCAGAAGCCCTTAAATGACTCCACGGCCTTGACAGCCGCGACCGCCTGCGGGTCTCCGGAGATGGTGCAGCTCCTGCTAGAACACGGGGCAAGTCCGAATACTTCGCTATCTCCCAGGCCAGGACCTCCTCGACCGGGCACTCCGACCCTTACCCTGGGTCCATTGGGGTGCGCTCTTGAGCGCGAGCAAAGTTACCGCTTTATTGAGCTACTCATCAAACACGGGCTCACGATGGCGATGGAAGCTTCCCACCTGGAGAGAGCGTTGGTGCTTGGGAAGTTCGCCGAGTTCCGCTTGCTCGTCGACACGGGTGCGGACATTGTGGCTGATCCACGGATCATCAGGCGCCTATATCGTGAGGCAGTTCGTCGGCAGCAGGGGGATATTGTCAAGATGCTGTCTCGAATGAGTGACAAGGTCTTGGAACCTGGCGAAGAGTTTATAGGACGTTTTACCTTGACAACAAAAGACAGGCGTCACCCGCAATCCTCCGCATGATCGGTCCGGTTCAAGTCGGCTTCCCGGCTAGCGTTACCATCCGTGCGGTACTGCACCCCAGCAGCGAAACTGGACGCTCTTGTCTTCAAACAAAAAGGCTAAAGCATTGAGCTTCCACAACCTACCTAGCGGTCTGACTATAATTTGAGGAATGTGCTGCCATTCCAGCATGCGCGATATACTGCTCAGAATGCTTTGTCTCCCCAGCGCTTTGTTCCAAAGTGAGGATTGAAGTATGGAGACCTATCCTATCTACCATGATTTGACGAGAAATAAACAAGCCCTCGTCGATTGGTGGGAGTGTCCAGCGTAGGGGGAGGGAGTCGAGAGTCCCGTGACTACTGGTTCATGGCCTGGCGGATTGTACAGTACTCGTGCACAGAACCACAGTATGGACACCTAACCATCTCCAAACCTGGGTGAGCTTGGTAGAGCCTTATACCCACTCATCCTCAGCTCTTCTTCTTGGTAAGCGACTTCACGCCCAACATCAGGTGACAACGAGATGAACGCGTATCCACCGGCATGTCGCAGGTCACGTGGCACATCACAATTAGAAGTGATTGGCGATGAAGAGCAATTATGAACACAACCCGATTCCTGTCTACACTGGGTAAGTGGATGCTTGACTGAAAGCTGTACGCATATCCGTGCTCGAGACCCTGAACTGAACAGCGCGTACATGAGCCATTGCATCTCTATGCATGCCAAGACTACCCAGTTCGCCGAACCAATGACGTGTTGGGTTATCTGACTGGTTCTGTCACTACCCAGATTGTGGAAAGCAGAATGACGAGAAGAAGGAGGAGGAGGAGGGGGAGGAAGATGAGCATCACTAGTATCGCATCAGGGTCCACATCCATGAAAGATGATTCTTTCGGGCACGTTACTGTACCCTGATTGGTATAGACTTTCTGCAGCGACAAATCCCCCCGCATCCTTCGCCTGCTTTTGCCCGTCAATCCACCCATTCAGCGCGCCGTGAACAGGAATGATAATGCCACGACAGCTTATCAACCAACCACTCAGATCCATTATCTCACTCACATGCATACATTGATATAGGAGTTCTGCACGAATTCTCAATAGTCGGTTTTTGCTTCTTTGCTCATGCAGATCAGGTGACCACATAACCAGGTGAGTTAGCGGGGGCATTCCTCGCCAGGCTTTGGTGTCTCCAACACCACACTCGCTTAAAGGTCTGCGTTGCCTTGAGTCATGCCGACCGGCACCAGTTTACACCGAGCGAGATCAGTCCTTGTGGAACGAGTGATCAAAACGCATTTAAGCAAGCCCATCCTCATGCGCATCGACCCAGACGCTTCGTGCATAACTAAAATACAGAACAATGGCTCGACTACTCTGTCAGGCGGCGTGCTGCCTAGCAGCTCTAAGCCCTTTCGCATTGGCCTGGTCTTCCGTGGAGACAAACCAACCCCGTTTACCAAGTCGCTCCAACCTGGACACAGCGCAAGTGCAGGCCGCACTCAGTCCGCTGCTCTGTTCCACGTCCAGCGTGTTTGGGCCTGACAGCCCGCTGTGGCCAAACGCAACGTCACGGTACCAGGCATACGAACCCTCGCAGATCAAGGTGGTCGTACGGGTAGGGTGCGAGGAGGATGTCGCCACTGTTGTACGTCTTGACACCTTTCCTCGCGTTCTCAGATTGCTCAGGAAGCGTGCAAACAACAAACGCACGGCTAACGCGAATATCAGGTTCGATATGCCAATGCGAACGACTTGCCTTTCTTCACGGTCAACCGCGCTCACAGCATGACAACCACCCCGGGCCAATTCCGCGGCCTGGAGATTGACATGCAGCTGCTGACGGGAATCGACATCAATCCGGATGGCGAATCCGCTCGCTTTCAGGGCGGGACGTTCGCCCAGGAGGTAATAGACGTGCTGTGGGAACAGGACATATGTAACAAGTTAGTCACCCCCCTACCCTACCTTGCATCGGACAAACTGAGCGGCTGACAAATCTCCCAAGCCACCGGAAGCTGCGGCTGCGTCGGGATGGTAGGTCTCGGTCTGGGCGGAGGTCACGGCCGTCTGCAGGGACGGCACGGGATGGTCAGCGACAACTACCTCAGCCTGAACGTGGTTCTTGCGGACGGGACAGCGATTACCGTGTCGGAAACCTCGCACCCGGACCTCTTCTGGGGAATGAAAGGTGCCGGGCACAACTTCGGCGTGGTCACCAGCTTCGAACTGCGCATCTTCCCCCGCCAGGAGGAGACCTGGTACTACCGGAATTATGTATTTTCGCAGACGCAGCTCGAGCCGTTTTTTGGAGAATCAAATCGGCTGCAGGAAAACGGCACGCAGCCGGTGGACATCGCGTGGCAATACACAATGTATCAGCTGGATCCCACGTTCAGCGAGACGGAGGTAGCACCCGCCCTTCCCACAATCCTCATCGCCGTTCAATCTGAACTATACTAACCCCGTACAAGCCAATCATCCTCTGGTCCTTCGCCTACTCCGGCCCCGAAGCCGCGGCGCAACCGTACCTGGCCCCCTTCGACGCGCTGCACCCGCTCCGCATCGAAGACGGCAACGTCCCATATACCGAGATCGCGACCGCCCAGAAGACAGGCGTGAACGATTCGGTCTGTCAGCACGGCCTCGCGCACATGGTCTCGACCGCGGGTCTGCAGGTGTACAACTTGACCGCACAGCGGGCGATCTATGATGTTTTCAGCGAGATGCTGCGCTCCATTCCCGCGTTCAATGCCTCCGTCGTGCTCATGGAGGGCTACTCCCTGCAGGGGCGTATTGGCCGTCGACCCCGCCTCGTCGGCGTATCCCTTCCGCGACGACTATCTGCTCATGTATGGTTCTTCCCACCCCCTGACAGTGCCAAAAGTGTGTGAGCTGTGCTCTATGGGCAGAGTATGCCAGGTGGCTAATGTCCGCTGCTCTGCAGGTAGGCCGCTGTCACTCACGCCCCTGATGATTCGTTGGATGAAACCGCGATCGAGTGGGCTGGTCGCATCCGCGACTTGTGGAATGAAGGCCAGCCAACCCGGCGGCCGACGACGTACGTCAACTATGCCTTTGGGACGGAGTCGCTGGAGTCGATGTATGGGTATGAGGGGTGGCGGTTGGAGAGGCTGCGCGCCTTGAAGCGGGAGTATGATCCCGAGAATCGGTTCGCATATTTCAATCCTATTCCTGCTTAGAAGGTCTGTACTTGGTTTGCAGGAGGTGTACGGTCGTGATTCAATGGTAAGGTGCATGTATATCCAGGTGCAACTGTTACATAATTTTGGGGTTGCGTTGTCGGTTTTGTTGCATGGCACCTTGGTTGAGGACTCCTCCGGTGGCTGAAAGAGGACCAAGTGTTTTATTTGACTTCGACGACTCGCAGATCGAAAGTCCTCCCGGGCCGCGCGACATGGTGTTATGAATTATTACTCTCTATTGTGAATCGGTCCTAGAGCGTGGGTCAGGCCGATCGTGCTGGCAGTAAACTGGCATTGCGGGGTATATACTATGTACAGATATCACTACACGTCTTTTGTCTAGGCTTACCATTACGCGGGCAAGCAAGGAAAGGTAAACAGAATCAATCAAGAAGAAGCAATGGTGATAATATTATGAAAAAAAGGAAAGAAAAAGCGTAGGACAAGACAGAAAAAGAAAAGATGTAAGCGGATAAGAGAACTGGAGCCACCCAAACCCCAAATCAAGGAAACCGTGGACAGACAGGCGGGAAACAACCCCGTTCCCGGCATCGGGTCCACAGCACCACCGTGTGTGTCCTGTCAAAGCCCTAAAGAAGTAAATATATGAGCACTACGTCAACACCTGTCACCCGCGGGCCTTATTGGCGGGTTTACCAAGGAACTGCCATTGTCCAGCGATATGAGCAAAACTAAAGACGAGGGTGGCTGGGCTGAGAACGCGACGCTTGCCATTATCAACCCCACTCCAGGTGGAGCCCTCAACATCGGATGAAGCCCAGACTGGGCAAGGTTGATGTCGATCGTCGATCGGATCTCCCCACAGGCCCCTCATCACGAACGAGATCAGCAGCCGAGCTGCGCCGAGCTGGGGCAGATCCCGATTTTCGGGACCTTCAGCTGAAAAGGAAAAATCAGGGAATCGAACTTGCTGTTGCTGCCTGTGGGGGCTTTGCGTGCGGCGGGGTATATGATGTGCCGATTATCCCGGCAGTGAGATTGCATCCTTGATGTCTGGATGTACGGCTTCCTGTTGGTACTCAGACAACAGTTGACATTCATCATCTTAATCGAAAAGTAGACAGAATGGCGCGAGATACAGAACTCCTTTCTTTGTCCAGCTTCGGCGAAGACCTCATCGCGAGCGGGGCCTTCTCCTCCCTGGACTCCCTCGATGTCTTCTCCCCCGCCACATTCCGCAACGAAAAGCGCAGCAACCTCGTAACCACCCCCGATGTATCGCCTCCAGCAACCCCAGCCCCGCGATTCCTCCCTCTATCGGGCTGGACTACGATGTCCCGATCGCTGTCAGCGGCGCCCCCGGAGATCCCGGCTTCGCCCGCCAGCGAGCTGATCATCGGCGGCGCAGTCGTCCAGAACGTCGCCCTCGTGGTCGGAGAGTCGGTCTCAAGCGATCCGGCGCCCGAACACAAGGACCAGGATCTGTACAGCGACGTCAAGGTCATGCCGGTCCCGGTCTCCGGGGTGCAGCGAGGCGGGGGTTCGCTTCTGGTGGCCTCCATCGGCAAAACAGCCGCACAGCCCATGCTGCTGCTACCGGCGGAGAATGATGCTGAAATCGCGTTCCCCGAGACGGCGAAGCCGGTCGCGCTGCCTGATGTCAAGAAAGAGATGACTGCCGCCAAGGGGGAGGTCGGCGCGGCTGCGGTCGATTCTTACGTTCTTAGCGGTGATATCAAGGATTTCTTCGGGATTAAGGGGCTGAAGGCGAAGCTATACTCTTTCCGAAGCGAAGATAGCAAGAAGAAGGATGACGAGAAGAAGGCGAAAGAAGGTGAGAAGGACAGCGACGAAAACGAGGCGAAGAAGGAGGCCCAGCCGGACAAGAAGCCTCCGGTCGGATCGAAGTATCCTGAATCAAAGCCCAAAGAAGAGAGGGCGGAAGACTCCCAGCCCAAGGACAAGAAGGATGGACAGGCAAAAGACAAGGGCGACAAGAAGGATGAGCCGATCCAAGAAAAGGTCAAGCTCAAGGATATGGATTCCCCGCTCGGCATCCTCTTCCCCGAAATCGAGCAGTCGACGATCCAAAAGCTCCCGCTCAAGAACCTGGAGTTTACCTACAGCAACAAGGAGAAAGACAGCCTTTTCCCGGTCGGACTGCGACTTGAGGGTGACCTGGAGTTTAAGGATGGCTTGCAGTTCGTCTCGGACGGGCTCAAGAATGTCTTTGGCTCCGACAAGGGAACAACCCTGCCTTCCAAGTTGCGGGTCAGCGCATTGATTGCCAAGGAGCGGGACTGGGGCAAGAAGCCCAAGATCGAGGGTTTGGTCCTGCAGGCCTATGCGGATATGACGTTGCCGAAGTGGGACTTCCTGGAGTTCAAGACGGTGGGCATCGAGTTGTCGGCGAGGAAGGAGGAGAAGAAAAAGGAGGATAAGAAGGAGGGTGGCAAGGGAAAGAAGGGTGAGAAGGGCGATGAGGGCGATGAGGGCGAGCAGCCCCAGCAGAAGGAAGACGACAAAGACAAGAATGAAAAGGGAAAAGGGCAGGATGCCCAGCCTGAAGAAGGCGCCGAGTCTGCATCTTCGGAAGTAGCCGCCATGGTGAATGTACTTGAAGATGACTCCAGCCCTAAAGATCCCGAGGAGGTTCCCAGGTCGAAGGAAACCGAGCCCAAAGTGGTGGAAGAGAAGGTACGCAAGACGCGTATTTGCTTGCAGCGCTCCGGAATTTGCTAATGTTGCACACAGGACAAATCGCCCAAGGACAAGGCCAAGAAAGACAAGAAAGACAAAGAATGGAAACTGGGATTCGGCTTATTCGGCAAACTCAACATCACCAAATTGCCCAAGTCGAAGGGAACTCTGGAGGCAAGATACTGGATCCGGGGAGGTGACTGGAAGCAGAAGGAGAAAGAAAAGAAAGACGGTAAAGACGACAAAAAAGACGACAAGAAAGACAACAAGAAGAACGGTAAGGATACAGACAAGAAGGCTAACCAGACAGTGAAAGAAAAAGAAGAGAAGAAAGATGATAGAGCTGTCGGAGGTAAGGAAAAAGCAGACAAACCAGACACTGATCAACCAGGCAAGAAGGACGAGAAGGCCGCGAAAAGCAAGGACGACAAAGACGAGCAGGGTGGTGGAAGCAAGTATGAACGTAAGTCCACCTGACCCAGGCAGGCTCGAGGACCAAACTTACGTGGTTTGCAGTGGTCATTGATGTCGGCAAGTGGAATAACTTCTGCGGTGTCGCAAACCTCAGTGTAAGAATCCCGTCGATTCAAAGAACATGAATTCTCATGCTAAAGTGATCACCCGAAAACAGATTAAGAAAGCGGAATTGCGCGCCTTCTTCAAACCAGGAGAGTTCAAGAAGACCTGCACGCTGACTGTGTCTGGCTCTCTCGAATTTCCTCAGGGTAGCCTCGAGAAGGAGGAGAAGGAGGAGGACAAGAAAAAGAAAAAGGCTAACACAGAAACGGCTGAGAAGGACATGAAAGAGCACACCAACGTGGCTTTGATCACAAAGCCCAAGCCGTCCGCCGGGGCTGAAGGCCAGGCCAAGGAAAAGGAATCAAAGGCCGAAGACAAGAAGAAGGACGGCGACAAGAAGGGCGATGCAGACAAGGAGAAGCCGAAGAATGCTACCTTGGAGATCAAAGGCCAGTTGTCCAGAAGTGAGTCTATCGATGATTGTTGACCGCAGCAGAGCTCTACTAATCCCCACGCAGAAGATTATCATTTTGACGCCAAGGTGGGCAACTTGAAGCTCGAGTCAATCTTGAAGATCTACGCCCATATCCATGGAGTCGAACCCAAGACTGAGGGCATCAAGGACCACGATTTAACCTTCGAGGAGTTGCACCTCAATATTGGTCGGAGGCTGAAGAAGAAGAAAGCAGATCAGAAGAAGGATGAGAAGAAGGATGAGAAGAAGGATGAGAAGAAGGATGAGAAGAAGGATGAGAAGGAGGGAGGTGAGAATAAAGAAAGGAAGACGCTCGAAGACGGCGAGACTGTACCGAGTGAAACGAAAGAGTCTGCAAACGAGAAGATTGCGGATAAACAGAGCGTAAATGACGAGGGCAAGAAAGAGAAATCTGTTGCAGTGACTGAAACCAAGGCATCAGCCAAGGCATCAGCCAAGGCTGACGACAAGAGTGTTTCCAAGAAGGAAGAAGAGGAGGAGGATACAGAATGGTCCTTTGAGCTTTCCGGCAAAGTGAGCTTCAACGACGTCAAAAGCGTGCACGGTTTGATCAAATATGACAGCACCGGCTTGACCATCGAGGGTGGGGTGGAGGATTACAAAGTGAAGGACGCTGATATCACTATCAAGGAGGCCCGGATTGACATCTTCATCGGAGCAAAGCCCAAAACCGACAAAAAGCTAAATGTGCACGGCAAAAAGAGCTCCTTGATTGGCACTGACGCCGGTAGTAGCGAATCAGCCATTGCGAAATCATCCCAAGAAGACAGCTCAGTGGGAAAGAGCCTTGTCAAGAAAGATACCGGCAAAGACAAGGAGATTCTCCTCAATCGGGCCAGCAAGTTCTCCATCAGAGGCAAGGTCACCTTCAGTGGAGTGACTGTGACAGTCGCCTTCCTCACCGAGCGTAAAGAGACAAATAAGAAGTCGAAGCAGGCTTCTGAACGCGAGTGGATGATTTATGGTCTGGCTGATACGGACCTCTGCCTGGAAGAGCTTTGTGACACGTTTAAAGACACCCCCATCGCAAACCTCAGGTTGCGGAATGTCGCCGTGATTGCCGCATCTGGCGAGATCAAGTCAGTAAAAGAGCTGAACACCCTGAAGTATCCCGTCCGCAAAGGTAGGTCAGCGATCGCATTCACTTTCTAGCCACTTCCCTAGTGACACGGAGGCTCTAACCTGAGTGTAGGAATCTCACTATGCGCGACTATACCACCCCTCGAGGAGCTTAACCACCTTGCTAAGGAGAAGGTGGATGGGTTAGTTCTATGCGCTACCATTCAGCAGAAATTGGAGCTCAAAGTTTGCTTGCCTTCGTCTATGGATGTAGGTCGTTCCCCCCTTAGGTTGTCACACTATATTGACGCATGTTTGTCGTCAGATCCACTTTTCCCCAACCGTAAAGCTGGGCGATATCAGCGTCGGAATTGAGATCAGCACGGATCCCAGCTTGTCCCTTGAGGGCGTTTTGACTATTTTGATGGAATCGGGTCAGGATCCATTGGTCCTCGAAGGAATGGTCCGAGCAGGAGCCCTGAGTGCCTCCGCTTATGTGTAAGTTGGTTTTACTGAGGATATATGCACAATGCTGACAATCCATACAGTGCAACTAAGCAGCCGTGGGTGAACCCCTTTAACATCAGCAAGGAAGTCACAATCGCAGACTTTCGGGTCGAGATATTGATCGAATATGCCAAATTCCTGGAAGTTGGTCCATCGTGAGTTGTCAACCCATATCTTCTCCACGGACATCTTTCCTCGGGGATACTAATATGCGAAACCAGGAAAATGGGCCTCGGAGGGCAGCTCGAAGTCGGAGACTTCGAGGCCGGGGCAGCCATGGTGATCAGTCACTTTCCCGACGACCAGCTCATCACCGTCAACATCTCCGAAGTCGACCTCATCAAAATCGTGCAGGTCGCCGGCAAGGTGGCCAATATCCCAGAATTAGAGACGATCACGGGGGCTGAGGAAACGTTCGTATTCACAGATGCCAAGCTGTACGTCTCCACGGGGGCTACCATCGGCAAGAAGGAGTACCCGCGAGGCATCTCCGGAGGCGGGAAATTGACGGCATTCGGCAAGAAGGCCGAGTTCGAGCTGAGCATCGGTGCTGCGGGGCTGGACTTCAAGGGCGCGATCGACAACTTCAGCTTGGGCCCGCTCGTGGTCTCGTCGGCTAGTGGTGAGCCCCGGGCAAGCATGGTGGTGCGCATGACCAAAGAGCAGCAGGTTGTCAAGGTAGATGGCATGGTCACCTGCTTCGGCATCGGGCTGGTCACCCTCGTGGACATCCAGCTGGGCACGGAGACCCCTTCGTTCAACGCCTACATTGCCGTACAGTTTACCAAAGCGTTTACCATCAGTCTGCAGGCCACCACGACGGACTTTAGCAGTGTTCGTGATCTGGCCAACCAGGGCCTCTACTTCCAAGCCGAGATCCAGGGCGATCTGTTCGAAATGATCTGCGAGAGTATCAAGAATATGATCAAAACGATCGAGAAACTGGGCACGGACGGTATTGAGTCCGTGCAAAACCTCATCGGGGCTAAGATCGGTGAGAAGCAGGCTGAGATGGATCAACTAGCGAAGGAGCTGGAGGATGCACGGATAAGGCTCGAGGCAGACCGTAGCCAGCGTCAAGTGGAGATCGAGAAGGAGGAAAAGAAGCGAAAAGAGGCAGAGAAGGAGATTGCACGCTTGAGACAGAATCTGGCTACAGCCAAGAAGAACAAGTCTGAAGTCGAAGCAGAGCTGAAGCAGAAGGTCAAGCGGGCGGAACTGGACAAAGAGGCACTCATTCAACGGAAGAGAAAGGAGTACAACGACAAACTAGAAGCAGCCAAGGAGGAGGAGGCTCGGAATCGCAAGGAGCTCGAGAGACTGAAGAAGGAGCAAGCAAACAGGTATGGACTAGACTTTCTCAAGCGGGCAGAACTGGCCAAGGGCGCCTGGTATGAGAAGATGGCGGCCGAGAAGGCCTCTTGGGCCCGGGTTGAAGCGGTGTATTGGGAAAAATGTAACGCGAGCTGGTATGCAACCCTTTCATACTGCCTTTGAAGAGATCAAGAGCTAACGTCAGTAGGCTCACTATTGCTTACTGGGTAAGTTTGCATGCAAACGAGAAAAGGCCGGGCAGGCGATACAGGAAAGGAAGCTAATTCTTGATTACAATAGTCCGGGGCACTGGAGGCAGAGAAGGCACGCCACGAACTCGTCAAGGCAGCCACCGCCGTTTACCATGAAACAGCCAAGGGATTCGATGCCACAATCAACTCTGATGCATTTCAGGGCCTCGTTACCGGGATAGAGAAAGCAGCAGAAGCAGCAGAGAGCGCTGCGAAGGGTATCGATAACCTTATCAATGGTGGAGGATTCGACGGATTCGTGAGGGCGTTTGTGGACACCGAGGATAGAAAGATTCAAGCAGCGATCGACAATCTTCATGCGATGCAGAGTGAGAACAGCAAGTATCAGCAGGCGATTCGGGATGCACAAGCCATCCTCGACAAGAAAGGACCCAACCTGGAAGCAGAGATTCGCGCCGCAGATGGGACGATCACCCGCATCCAGGAAGACGCTGAGCTCGCAAAGCTCCAGCGAGAGTACGATTATCGACTCAAGGTTCATGAGGAGGTCCACAATGCCATCAAGCAGATGGACGCGGGGCTAGAGGCCCTCAAAAAGGACTGGCAGAATGGCATGCAGAAGCTCCAGGACTTTGTGAACGAGATTCAGAAAAAGATTTCCTCCGTCTTCCACATAGAGAAGATTGTGGTTGGTGTCCACACTCATGCTCTGGTCAACGATGAGCCGCTTGCATTCAAATTCTACGGTACGGTGGCTAATAGGAGGTTTGAGGTCGAGGCGGAGTGGTCGCCAAAGATAGCCATCGGCGACCTTTACAAGAAGGTAACCAACGAGATCTTGAAGATTTGCTAAATGGGAGTGTAGCTCTCAGAGGCTGAGTCAGCACAGGAAGGGGTTAAATTCTGCGCCCTTCTCATAGTCCTCGATGAGTCTTTTTGATTAACACGAGATATGGTAGCTAGAACTATACTGGGTCAAGCTATCTGAATTGTGTTTCGCAGTGTAACAGTGAGGTCTTTTACACGGATCTTCAGTACTTGTGTGTAAAGCCAGTGCAAGAAAGGAAGTGGACACTTTATGCTTGGTGACTGATGCTCACATCTCATGTAGCTGTACCCTGAACATAGTTTTGCCCCCCACCCAACTCCTCCGCGTGAACTCTCCTCCTGGTGAAGCAGAGGTGTAACAAATATTGAGAAAGCCCCCGACCTAAGGAACAACGACCAACCGTCCCTTCAGATGAGGGTCCATATACCGGTCTGGAAGATCCATGGCCTCCTCGCGCTTCACCGTCTGTACGTGAGATCGCACCCCCTTCTCCGCAACGAAGTTTATCATATCCGACAAGAGGCGCTTGTTCGCAACCAAACTCCCACGAACAATCAGCTCTTTGAATATCAGGTCACAGGCGGAGAATCTAAAACTTGCCACGGGAAGCCCCAGGGGAACACAAACTCCGTGAGGCCGGAGGAGTTTAAGGCTCCATTCCGTCGCGCCCACGCTGTCGGTGCAAACCAGCACGGCCGCAAGTCCACCCCCTCCTGCAAACTCGACTACCTCTTTTGTGGCCTTGAGACTATTATAGTCCACGACGTTACCGGGTTTCAAGTGAGCCGGCAGTTCACTCGCCAGCTGCCGCCCTTCGGGTCGGTTGTCGATTGCAACGGTCGGATGCCCTAGTCCCGCCGCAAATTGCAGGGCGAGGTAGCCTAGACCGCCGACGCCGATGACTCCGATTGGGAGATGAAGTTCTATCCCTGCGTCCGCGAGGCTTGTCCAGACGGTAGCCTGTGATACATAGTTAGGCGGGAAACATACCCCGTGGACAAAGCTGTTGTCACCTTACCCCAACACACATCAACGGAGCAGCTTGTTCAAACGACAACCCGTCCGGCGAAGGCACCGAAGTGGCTGGGTCGGCCACGACGTACTCGGCGAATGCCCCATCAGCATTGACGCCAGCATTCTCCTTGTTCTCGCAGAACCGAGTATCCCGCTCATTGGGCCGAAGGGGGTCGCGCCCGACTTCACAGCCTACGCACGCATGGCACGCGCTCCGGAGGTTCAGCATCCCGATACGCTGGCCAGGCTTCCAGCTGCCTGTCACATTCTGTCCGATCGCCACGATAGTTCCCGCGGGCTCATGGGACGAAGTCACGGGCAAGGGGGAATTGTAGACCCATTGTATATCTGATGGTCTGTGTGGCAGAAGCCTGCGGCCTCGACTTTGACCAGGAGCTGATTGTCGCTGATAGTTGGGATCGGGATATCTTACAGCTTGTATGGGGCTCCGTACTGGATGCGGTCAGATACATATTATGTCAGTCTGTTGTGGGCTTGGACCTTTCCTCTGTGCGTTGTTTTTATGTGAGGGAAAAACAGAGACTCTGAGCTCGGGGAGTGAGAAGAGGGTGACTGCTACCTGCACAAGCCTGAGGGCTTTCATACTCTGAGAACCCATGATGAATCTTGCTAATTACAACCGCGGTGCGGTTTTCAAGGGGGGTGTATCGGACCGGGCTGAATTGAATACTCAGGAAAGCTCACGGCGAGGTGACAGATTCCTGCTATTTATGATTGAGTCGACCCATGAGAGTTCTTCTACGCATCATATGTTAGTTACAAGCCGGGGTGTAGTAAACTCTTGAGTCGTCTATGTGATCGGTGGCGGCTTCGAGACTACCGTAGAACCAAGGACATAAACCTAGTTTATCGGCACAATTGACCATCCTGTGAGGCCAATCCTACAGCGCTTCAAAGTTTTATGTTTCAGGCGCTAATTTTTCCATGAGAGAACTGTACGCACAAATATCAGAACACAAATATTGGACCTTTTGAGACTTGCGACTCACAGACAGCTTTGGCAAATGCTCATTTGTGTGAATTATTCTTCCATATGCATTTCATGGAAAGTTGATCGACATCTGGTTGATGCTCTATGATCTGTGGTTAAACTATCCCCTAACACCTTCCTTTCGTCAAAGCTCTAGCCCTGTTTAGCCCCTTCAATTGCAGGCTCCCAGCTCTGGCGTCTGGTTGTAAATACCTCCTCACTCGGCCGAGATATCTTATCAAAAAGCGAGGCTTTGAGTAGCGTCTTTCCTGGGAACTCAGGGCTCTCAGTCGAGACGGGGCTACACTCGAAAGTGTTACTGCAAGGAACTAGAACAAAGAGCTGGTGAGATCTGGTCATAACAGAAACTCACCTTCCACATTCGCTACAAAATTGGCGCTGGGACATTCAGAAACGGTATCTCAGTAAATCGCCGCTCGTTAGCGGCCATGGCACCCCATGAAAACACCTACTAGGACCATATTCCCGCTCTGTGTGAGATAATCGCCGTAGCTCTTCAATAGATAGCCTTGGGTCTCTGATTATAACATCAGAATTATCTAAGACGTAGTTCATGGACGACCCTGAGTTGATAGTCAACAATCGCTGGAGCTACAGAGTATCAGGAGTCGCCAATCCGTGTTTCTTACCGCCCCCGGATCGCCCGCGATTGCGACTGAATCACATGTAGAAGAGTCAGAGTTGTATTCCCCCTGGTTCAACCGGTTTGGGAGGCTCATCACTACCAGTGGCATCTCAATGACTGAGACGGCTGTTGCTGCAGCGACACTTGGATTCGCCTGCACATGCAGTGTCCATCGTAGGGCATGGATGAAACCTTGATATGTTGCATTGAGGTGGCGCACAGGATGGGAGGATATCGAAGTCAAAGTAGGCGAATAGAATAAAACTTGCTGCTGCATTCGACCGCTATCACCTGCTGCAAGGCTACTATTTATCATATGGTAGAGGTTAGCCACAGCCATGGGTGGATCCTATGATGATGCAGTAAGTGATGAAGGGTGATGAATGTCCAGTGGGCTTACCATCTCACAATCTTGGAAAATTCAGTGCAACACTGCAAGCATCATTGGATCCTAGCCTGTTGAAGGATTTGAATCGGTTTGTCCCTGGCTTGTTTGTCGTAATCGGGGCCTTTGAAGGCTTTGGAGATCAATAGAGGGCTCGGCTGCCCCACAGCGGCTGCGCTTCCACTTACCCTTTCTACCAAACTAAGTAGGACCACATTCGCGCGGTTGGAGACAGATGGGTACTGTAAACTAGGGAGCTCTAATGGGAGCCATAGAAGGTCTTAGTAGGCAGTTACCGCTGCGGCAATTCATTTGCCAAGTGGCCGTGAATGTCACCCCTTAACCCACACAATTGAATGAGCATATGGTGGACAATAGAGCTCGTCAATAGCTCCTGTTCGGTCACGTGACAACGCTCCCACGCCGGCTCCCTTGCAGTTCAGACACTCGGAATATATGTTCCTATAGAAAGGAATGAGATTAGATTCTCTACGCGACCCGTAGCCAAAGAGTCGACGTACCTACCTTTCACTGCCGGCAGAGGCAGGCTGCTTGCTAATGGCAAAAGCAGAGCAAGTTTTCCGATCCACATCCTGCCAAGCCTAGCCACGGCACTTGTCAAGTTTTGCGCTGTTTTGCGCTCCACTACAGTGTCCTCATCTTGTTTCATCGTCGATTATCCATTTCTAAATCTATCCGACATGAAGTTTCTATAATCTGACAACTAAGGACGAAGGAACAGCCTCAACTTCCAAGCACCGGACTTAGTCCAAGGCATAGACAATCTTGTAGCCGGAAATCTTTCCATCGCGATACTCCTGGAATCCTTCAGACACCGAATCCAACCCCTGACGCAACTTGGGATGGCTAGGCTTGAGTGTGCCTTTCTCCACCCAGGAGGGAAGCTTGTCGAACAATTCAGTCGAGAGTCCATGATCGCTCTTGGAAGCCTGCACACAACATACGTGAGTTTCTACTTTCGCCCTGACGGAGTGAAGTGCAGGATCCAGCCACTTACCGGCCATTTGAACTCGCCATATGTGTGATCCTTGAGGAAGGAGGTCCACACCAACACATTCGTCACCCGAGTACCGGATGTCACCTTCTCCGTATTCGCTTTGCCGGGTCGCACTGTGCACAGAGACCCAGTTTCCGCCTGGAAGGCGCGCGAGGCCGTCGGCGACGATGCTGGATTGCCGATGGGATCAAACGCATAGCTGAGCGTGGGAGCCACGTCCTTGATCTTGTCGACGACCTGATCATCTTTGTAGTCGAAGACGTGTCGGGCGCCGTACGAGCGCACCAGTTCCGCGTGTTTGGGGCTACAGGTCGTGACGACCTCCAATCCGTACATGGTGGCCAGCTGGATAGCGTAGAGTCCAACGCTTGCTGTGAATGCCCGGTTAAGGAGAGAAGAGCGAAGAGGGGACCCTGAATGCACTAAGCTACTTACAGCTCCCACCCCAAATCAACACACTGCTACCCTTCTGCTGGTTGCGATTTATGCCCAGACAATTCTTGGAAAAAAGTGCCAGCCACGCGGTCGCGGCAGCCAGAGGCACGGTGCTCGCCTGCTCGCGCGAGATATTGCGCCCCGGCACCGGGTACGAGATGCTCTCGTCGGCTAGGGTGTACTCACTGTAGGCGCCTAGGCCCGGAGTTTCGCCTTTGAATTCCGTGAGCTCAGAATCTCTTGTCCAAGTAAGACCAAGTAAGACAAAGATCAGACATACCGCCCCAAATCAAACCGGCGATGATATCGCCGGTTGCGTACCGTTGCACGGAGCTGCCGACTTCGACCACTTCGCCGACAAAATCACAACCCAAGACAGCGCCATCGCCAAACGCGCGGTTATCAAACGATTGGACTGCTTTCCTGTCAGGCACTCTTTCCACTCAAGGCTATGCACGAGCTATCGTTGAGGCTCGGGGGTAAAGAAAATGGGCAACAAGCAATTGACTTAATGGAAAGAACAAACCGTCTGTTGGGTTCTGTGCAGCATGGCTGATCTTCACTAGAACCTGTGTCGTGTCTGGTTTCGGAATGGGAATCTCTTCCCTGGAGAGACGGAGAGATTGAGGGCTATCCTCACGGACTACTAGTGCCGACATGGTTGGGCTGGGGGTCATTTTAGCGATGGATGTTGTGAGTGGTAATGTGGTCGGGCTGGTCTTTTCATTGAATTGGTTCTCCGACTTGTAGAATAAATTAGACAATGCCGGAGCGACGATGAAGGAATAAATAAGGTGGTTCGGATGATGATGTCAGGACCAAGTGACGATGTAGTGAACCTTCGATACAGTATATATTGTGGCGTGATAGACAAGAATATCCTACAATGGTCCCGTTGGAAGACCTGCAAGAAGCCTGACTGAGACAAAACATGTCATACATGATGACTAGGAAGTGATCGAAGGGTACAACCTGAAAAAATACAAGTAAGATGAACATTGAGTGTCTGTCTCACAGATTGATGGAGAGATTCTGGGCGGGCGCTTGCGCTTCCACCTGCCGCTTTCAATGACCAGCACGTGACCCTCTCCATTCACTTGCCGGTTTATCTTCCACTTTCCTCTCTTGCTCTCTTCCCTTTCCACTACTTTAAGTGATGTTGCATCCTTCCTCTTTCCTCTCTTGTCGCAATGGGTAACTAAAAGAAAGACAAGGGAGAAATTTCAAGACGAATACTATGCAACGGCGAAGAACGCGTTCTGGCTGGTAACTTATCTCCGCCACTCTCACTCCCCCTCACATGCACTTCCCGATGTGGTGCGCTGACCATGAAACTATACAGCCTCCCGTGTCGCACTCGTCGGCGAAAATGTAAGCTTGCCTCCCCACCTCCCACTTTTGGGGGTCTTTCTTATCTCATGCCTTCTTATTCGCAACACAGGCGATGGGACACACCCACGTTGCCAGAATTGTACCCTGCAAGGGCGTCGATGCCAGTGGGGCCTCAAAGCCTCGTTCCATCAATCACGCAATCTCACACTATCACGCTCCGACGAAGCCGACCTTGCAAAAGCTCTGGATCATGAGAAAGGATCGTTGCCCTCGCTAGGGCGTCATTTGAAGGTTTGGAATAGCCCTGATCAGCCACCCTGCACCCCATACTCATCAAAAACCAAAGGTTATCGACGAGACGGAGGCAACCATCCGAGATTATAGCTTCCTGCAGGATACTTCCCCGCCACCAAGGAGCCCGGCAACCTCACATGACCCGGGTCTGAGAGAGGTCGAAGGAGTCCGACCATTGCAGTGCAGCACGGTCAGGGCTTTCGAAGAGCTGCAGGGAAGCTACACACTCGGTGGTAATCAGCATGGCACGGAAGATGACAGTGTCATGGAAAATCTTGTGGCACGGCCATCAATTCAGGATCTTGATCCGACAGACAGCTATCCGGCGACGCCGCCCTCGCTCGTGTCCAATTCCAAGACCCCGAGCACAGGCAACGCGCACGGCCCGACCGCGATCGGAGAGCCTAACGCTGGCACGCACGTTGCGCCTTTCTCACTCGGCAAGGCTTGTTCGGGGGACATCTCCATCCTGCCCCAACCACCGTCTCCTGTTTCCGAGTCAGAGAAACTTAGGCTCATCAGCTTCTACTTGCGAGGAACAGGAACTTGGTGCGAGACCACCGACTCTGATAGGCATTTCACAGTGTTCAGTATCCATGAGATGATGAAGTCATCGGCGTTCGTCGCAGCAGCAATGTCTCTCGCCTCGCGGCACTTGGACCACCTTCAACGTAGACATCGCTCCGTCACGCTGGAGCTATACCAGCACACCATTCGCCTGCTGCTCCGGCAAGACCCCGCCCGTGCTGATTCTTCTATTCTGGCAACATGCACACTACTTTGTGTCTACGAGATGATGGCATCGGGTGTCGATGAGTGGCGACGCCATCTGAAGGTTCTCTCACCAAGTATTTCTTTTCAAATGCTCGGAAGACGGGCTACTGACCACAACTCTAGGGGTGTGCCGGTCTGCTCCAGTTGAAGAAGTGGAATGGGTGTAGCCCTGGTATTGTGAAGTCTTGCTTCTGGGCATTTGCGCGGATAGGTTAGCTACACCGGTGTGAAGTCTCGGATCCAATTAGTGGAAGTTCGTCTGACGTAGAACCCCTGGCATCCGCCCTTGTCACAGACGTCTGGGCTGCTTTTGTCACCCGCAAAACGACCCTCATCTCCGCCCACTTCTGGATGAACGATATGTCCCTCGAGTCGCTGGCCGCCAAGGGCAAGGTGGATGACTATTGTAACATGGCAAACCTAATTTTTGCGAAGATCATCAACCTCCTGGTGAATTCTGTTGTCCATAGCAAAATTGACTTGGGTGAGTCGGTGGCGGCGCTGTGGGATGAAATGCAGCGCTGGTACCGGCTTCGGCCGCCGGTTGTCCACCCGTTGTTGCGACAGGAGCCTTGCCCTGGCACCGTTTTCCCCACGGTCCTACATGCTCGGACATCGGCCAGTGAGTGAACCTTCCCTGTGGGTCCAAAAAACGACCGCCGGTAATGTAGGGATCTTTCTAGTTTGTGGGAACACGTATTATCATGCGGGCTCGATTCTGCTCCTGCAGACAGGTGCTGTGCCGGTTACTCCTGACACCCAAAACGCTGTACGTATACGCAGCCTTCGCTAGCAGCAGCCTGGTCATTTACATAAAGCCAGCAGGTCGATGCCATTTGGCATGCACGCGAACTGATGGGCATCTCAACTTGTAATTCCTCTCAGTGAGTTCCCACTTCCCGTCATACATCGCAAGCTGGCGCCATACCAGCCGTACCGGTCCCGAGAGGTATCTTGATATTGACCAAAAGAGTTACAGTGCAAACTGGGTCAACCATCTGCAACCCCTATACATCGTGGGGACTGTCTTCGCGGGGTATTGCACGACCTCTCCGCCCTCGAAGCACACCCATTCGCACAACGTGGAGGGCTATCGGTCGGCAGCTCAGCAGCCAGTAAGTCCAGATCTTATGAATCTTGCAGGAAACGAAGCCCTTGTCGCTCAGGAATCAACCGTGGTAGAGGAATACGCCACCGAGAAGATCTTGTTGCTGAAACATCTCTCGCGGATCGAAGCTGAAACCGGGTGGAAGACTTCTGATCGTGCGGCTGAGCTGAGGGGACTCTGGGGTCTCGGGTAGACTGTGAATATCAGTCACGGTGTATAGGCGCACTGGCAAACAGGCCGCCTGAATCCTAATTGGTGCCATGTGACAATGCATTACAGGCCAGATGAATCGTATGGCCGATAAATGCGACACTCCGTTTACGTTGTTCCCGGGATGCGTGCTTGGAAACCAGAGGTGGAGTGGATTTAAAGTTGGAACCCGAAAGAATGTCTTCAGGAAACAATACTAAGGATCTCTGGATGATGACATGGAATCGAATCAATATGATATTCCTTCATATGGCTAAACAACATAGCAGAGTCATGCAACAGGGGGTATCGAGCGCCGAAACCGTATACGTGACACATCAATCAAAACCCTTGGACAAGAAGAAATCTAATGGCATCGGCCACGTGTCCAGGCCGAAGTCTGAGCCTGACAAGAAGTAAGAAAAGAAGAGGCTCATGCTCTAGATGTCCGTTTATCCTCATAACTTATTCTGCTCCCACTTCTCCAGGTATTCGGACAGCTTCTCGAACGAGAATGGCTTGGTAACGAACATATCCATCCCGGAGTTCAACGCCTCGGTTTCATCCTGCGCACTGCTGAGGCCGGTCAAAGCAATGATCTTGGCGGTGACGCCGCTGTCCCGCTCCCGTTCTAGGGCGCGGATGGCGCGTGTGGCTTCGAAGCCGTTCATCAATGGCATGGAAATATCTAAGCAGGAAAGATTAGCACTATGTGGTTATGAGGGCGAGAAGGAAGGGAAGTACCCATGAAGATCAGGTCGTAGCCATGTTTCTCCTGCTCGACCGCTTCGACGGCGCGCTTGCCGTTTTCGGCCGACTCGAGCGCAGCCAGGTTCCGTTTCTTCAGGAATGTCAGAATGAGGTTGCGATTGATTGGGTTGTCTTCCACCACTAGGACTCGTGGGCCTCGCGCGGTTCTTTCGATTACCGCATCCTGCTGTGTGGATGCGCTCTGGCATTGGGGGCACAGTGAGGGTTGTGATTGTGTAGCGGCTGCGGCGGCAGCTGAATGTCGGTTGTCGTGTCCAACAGGTAATGCCCTCGACTGAAGTCCGACGGACGTTGCCTCCGACTGTTGGTTCAAGCAGCGCTCAATGGCAGCCGCCAGCTTCCATGGCCCGCACGGCAGACGGACAAAGTTCACGGTCGGCGCCGACGACAGCCAGCCGGGAAGAGGTTTCGATGGAGATGTTGATGGGTCCCATACGACGATTATCGGGAGGAGAACGGTCTCTGTTTCGATTGGAACGGTGGTGGTTTCATCCACAAGCATGAAGTCGACGGGCGAGTCGGAATCGTGCGGCACGAGCTCAATCCCGAACCAGCCGACAAGGTAGCGGCTGATGATCGTCCATCGCGGGGACGACGAAATATCGTCCGGGTCTCCTTCGAGAAGAATACTTGCTCGTCGCCCGGCATGCTTTCCAATCGGTCCGGAGCTCTTGCTTCCTTGTATCATCAAATTCTGGAGATCGCGATCGAGAGAAGCGTCCTCGAGACCGGGTCGAGTCAGAGGCATGGTGACTTTGACAGTGGTCCCTTCGCCTGCGCGACTGTCGAATGTGATGTCGCCTTCGAGGGACTTCAGTAAACTGCGCACGATGGACAGCCCCAAGCCAGTGCCCACGGCCAACGGATCTTCCTGCGCGAATGGGGTGTAGAGTCGATTACGCAAAAACTCTTCGGAGATGCCCTTGCCCGTGTCGGAGACCGTCAGCACCAGCGTTTCCCCGGCTTTGGCAGCAGCGCCCGCCTTCCGGGGCGCCGCCTCAATCACGTCCATCTCCAAGGATACCTTGCCGGCCTCGGTGTATTTCAGGGCATTTCCCACGAGATTCATGATGATGCGCCGCAGCGCGCCAGGATGGGTCTGGTATACCCAATTGTGTTGCGCGATATCCAGCACCACTTCCACAGCCAGCTTCTCTTGGATCGGGTGCGACGCGTCCACCAGCGACTTCTGCGCCATATTCTCCGGGCAGTCCGACGGGGCGGTGGATCGTTGCCCATACGCATGGCCCAGATACACGCCTTCCACGACTTCCTCAGCCAGGGCACTTAGGTCTGTCGCCACGGAAGTGTCCAGTAACGAAGAGGCACCGGAGCCGGTTCTCTTCGCGCTGCGGCGCTTGGCGTGGGCACGGCCGCGCTCCGACGAGACGGTTTTACTATAATCCAGCACCTGGTTCATGGTGTCGAGCAGGGTACGGCCGCAATTGGAGATGGTGTCCAGCAAGGAGCGCTGGAACTCGTCCAGTCGGGTGCCCTGCAGGAATTCGCCGGCGGCCATAATTCCGTGCAGGGGACTGCGTAGTTCATGCCTGTGATTTGCATAAAGTCGTTAAGTCAATCTTGCAATGTCTTTGTTTTGTCCTGCTTGGATGTGAAACTGTGTGAGGGGAAAGAGGCCTTCCTTACGAGATACTACCAATGAAATGATTTTTCTGCCTGTCTGCCGCCACCGACTGCATGCGAATGTATTCGGCCATGATGGAGGAACCGAATCCCAGCATAGAGCTCAGCTCGACGGCCGGGTTGAACACGCGCGTCTCCAGCATGTTCCAGCAGAAACAGCCGGCGAACCACTGCGAGTCCGCCGCGTTCCACAGGGGCACGAACAGCACCTGCGTGGCGCCGGGGAAATAGCGGTTCAGGGTCGAGTTTTCTGAGGCCTTCTGCACCCGCGACTCGTCGATGCTCTGCTGGGAGTCGGTGCGCGCGGGCGAGGGTCGGTCGTCATCGGAGCTGGAGAGCAGTCCGTCCCGGTGGAAGGACCACAGTCTGCCGTGGCGATAGCGGTCCAACAACTGGTGCAGGAACTCGACATTCAATTCCGAGGCGGGATACTGCGTCGTGTTCTTGGAGCCGGGGCGAGGGGCGAAGGGCTCGTGCGCGGTCGACGCCGCCAGCACATGGGGCAGAGTCGGTTCGCGCGGGGTTTTCTCGCCGACGTTATTGCTGCTGCGCCATTTGGTTTCGTGGAGGAGATGGGAATCGGCGCGGAGGAAGATCACACCACCGTCGGTGCCCAGCTCCAGGCTCTGCCGGATCAAGTTCGCCGCCCGCTGGAACATCCACGAATCCCCTGACGACGAGGCCCCCGGCGTGCAACCCGTGCTGGTCTCGGATCTCGACATCGCAGACCCGCGCCTGTCGCGCGACGTAGATCGAGCCCCCGAAGATCGAACGCCCTGGCTCCACGTCCCGCGGGAGCTGCGTGACCGATGCGAGCGTGTCTCGCTGTTCTTCACGGATGGGGACTCAGCGGAGCGCAGAGCGGATCGGTTAGACAGCGTTGGTGGTGGTGGCGACCACGACATCGAGCCAGAGCCCATGGCGGCGGGTGTGCTGGGGGCCGTCGATGCCCGCTCCCCGATCTCCGAACTGCCTTCGACAAAGTAATTCAGGGCGCGGGAGAGCCGGGCTGCGCGTCGCCCGTCGGTGGCTTGTCGGCTGACGGCGAGATACTCGCTGACCAGGGCGCCCACGGTCACCAAGGCGTTCTTCTCGAGCGTGGTCAACCCCGTCGGGTGGGGCTTCTTGTCCAGCACGAAGATCGAGCCGATGTTAATCTTCGTGTCCGCGGTCAGCGGCGTGCCGGCGTAGAAGCGAAAGCCGGGATCCCCGCGGACGAACGGGAGATTCTTGTACCGCTCGTCGGTGCTGAGGTCGTTGACCTCGATGAACGAGGAGGTGCCCTTCTCCCGGTTGGAGGGCGGGAGGTCCAGCGTATCCTGTAGATGTCGGTGAGGTGTTGTGTTGGTTACATTTAAACCCACGAGAGTGTAATGTTACGATGGGGAAAAAGAAAGAGGGCCTACCCTGCACATGATCCACTCATCGAGAGAGAGCCTGGAATTCCCATTCCACACTCCATCACCCAGGTCCTGCAGATCCAGATCACCCTGGTTTGTTTGTGCGGCTTGCGCGATGATAAACTGCGAGTCCTGATCGGAGACGCTAAACAATAATCAACTCAAAAAATGAAGGTGAACAATAACAAGAAGGCGAGTAGATTCACCATGCCAGCGGCGGTTGGCCCGGCGAAGAAGAAAGGTATGCATTGCAGACATACCTAATGAGCACGCGCTCAACATCCAGCCGCAAAGCAGCCAACTGGGCGAAGGAGGTCAAGGTCTCGTTGTGGTGGCTCAGATGTGGCTCGAGCACCAAAGGGACAGTATACTCGGTGTCTACTGCGTGCAGGTGGGGAGAGCCTGCGGGGGAAGCAACAGAAGAGTAATGCTGGGAGCTCCCACCCCCATGATGCGGGGTACTCGGGGTACTTTGGCCCGGAGGGAGTGGCGATGTCGGCTCAGCCTCTTCCTCGATGGGCGAAATGAGGCTCTGTGGGTGGAAGATACTATACACTTCACGGGCTCGACGGCCAGCACCATGGTCCGGCGCAGGATCCGGCGTCGTTGTCGTGCCCTCTCCGTCAAAGTGGCCAGTGCGCCCACCGGCGGGGGGTTTCTTGGGGGGAGGAGAGGTCATCGGAACATATAGCAAGGATACTTTCCACCTACGTTTGGTGGATGGCAGTAGTCAGAGGGTGGGGAGTGATTTGGGAGGTGAATACACACCAAGAAGAAATGATAATATGACACAGGTGGGATGAAGGAGTTTCGGCTATTTTTGGGAGCGATGGACCACGAAATTCATCCAAGGGGGAGGAACGAACGAACGAATGACTGAAACTCGGTTACCGCGGTGACATCATCGGCCAACACGCACTTTTTTCCGGAAAACTTACTTCCGACCGCCCTGGCACGTGATCTATCTCGGCAATAGAAGCCTCGCTTAGCTAGACTGTATCGGGTTAGCACGACTCTCCCCGGCTCCCACTGGACGGGGAAACTTCCCGAGGGAGCCGAAGCTGGAACCAGGAACCAGCTGGCCGGGTCGAAGGCCCAGTCGGCCAAGATAGTGAGTGATAGATCCTTCACTAAGACTGTTATCTCAACTGGTTGAACCTATTCCACTATACGGCGTAGCTGATATCCTCGTGGGACTGGAAAATACATTTTATCATCGCTTTAGGCCATCATTGCCCGACCCGGCCGGTCGGAAATTACCAGGACGTTGCCCTTCGCCCTGCATCGGCTGGAATTGCCGTCAAAACAAGCATCATGAAACTCCTGGGATCGGTGTCCATCAAGGATCATAAATCTCAGCCACATCAGGCTTAGCCCGGGGTTCCTGGCAGCCCCCGTATTCGTGTTCCCGGGAGTGGCGCACATGCAGGGCAGATACGGGATGGGATCCACGTCTATCTATGGAAACTGAGCACACGACAGCTGAACCCTGCAGAGAGAGCTCCTCTCATCAGTCACAGGAATACGGCGCTACTCCAGGCCACCTTCGAGACCTGTGCAAGTTATATTGAAGTTTATACTAGATGGCAGGCCGCCCGTTGATCCAATCGGGAGCTGCCGTGGGGTTTACGCAGGTCGCGCAACCTTAAATCCTCCAATGCAGTATGCACCTCAAAGGAATTCGGAATGCTCAAGCGACGACAACATCGACAGGTCTCCCAAGCCATCGTCGGGGTTCTTTGTACAATGGGCGCAGTCAGAATTGGATGTGTTCGACTTTGGCATCATGTATTGCATTTTTTTACACGCAGGCGGATGGCTTCGGACATATATACTGAATGGCATGCTGGCCCTCTGGAGTAGAAACAAAGTCGATACTCCGCCATGATTGTCTTTCCTTGCCCGAGAGGGAGTGATGACTCCTTCAATCCCGTCGTGAGCGTTCATTGTCGAGAATTCGACTTCACCTTGCTCTTTGAGGATGTGGTTCTAGTTTCTATCCCCTCGTTTATCTTCCTAGCAATCCACTCCATCCGCATCGCCTGTCTCCTCCCGAAGCCAGTGAAGGTTGCCAACCAACGGCGAACAATCATTCTAATGGTGGGTTTCGAGACTGAATTCAATGGTGATGCTGTTTCCATGCTAAGGTGGGCATTAGGCCGTGCATGCTGTACTTTTAGGAAGTCAGTTAGCGTTGCTCGGTATCCGACACAATACCCCGACGCTGCAGACGCGGGTATGGCTCGCCGCGCAAATCCTGCAGACAGTCGATACTTGTGTGGCGATTTTAACTACATACTTTGAGCGCGCTCACTCGTTGCGGCCCCCTATCTGGCCCAGCCTCTACTTGTTTGTGGCGGTGCTGTTGGACAGTGTCCGCGCCCGGACGTTCTGGCTTGCTTCGAACACCATCTTTGCGCCCATCATCTTGAGTGTGGCGTTGGGTCTACGCGTTTTGCTTCTGATACTTGGGTCAACACTACCAACACGCTCACGACCCCTGCAGCATCAAGATACCACAAAAGAGGAAAGCAGCAGTTTGTGGGAGCTGTGTTTATTGACATGGGTGCTCCCAATTCTGAAACAAGGCTTCTTTTCGCCTTTGACTTTGGAGCAGGTTCCGCCCATCGGGCACAGCCTCACGGCAGAAACGCTGATGAGAAGGCTGCAGCGGCGCTGGAATCAGGGTAAGAAACTGAACTCTGCTGTTCTTCAACATTTTTCGCCTTGTTTAGGTACTATGGCTCATTCTCCGTCTTTCTCTCTCATAGTGTACCAATCACGCGGAAACCAGCTCTTTTTCACTCTATTCCGGACATTCAAAATCGAATTCGTGCATGGAGTCATTCCCCGATTGTGTTTCTCGGCGTTCACCCTGATGCAACCCCTTTTGGTCAACGCCATAATCAAATTCGTGGGGTCCAACGATAACCAGACAACGCGGAACAAAGGGTATGGTTTGATCGGAGCATCGGCGATAGTTTATCTTGGGCTTGCAGTAAGTACTATCTCTCTTAATGGCTTACGTGGCGTTCTGTACTTTTGCCTCGTGCAGCAAAGGCATCTCACATTCATAACTATTAACATCCATTCCCTAGACATCCAAGGCAATTTACAACAGACAGGCGTATCGCTTCGTGATTGGAGTCCGGGGGGCTTTACTCGCCACAATCTACAGTCGAACCCTTGAGCTCGGCGCTGCAGATCAAGGGAGTACATCTGCACTCACCTTGTTGGGGACGGACGTGGAGCGAATCGCGACGGGCCTCCGGGACGTGCACGAGATATGGGCGTCGCCGATCGACATAGGGCTAGCGATTTGGCTGCTTGGAAGACAGCTGGCCGTATCCTGTATCGTCCCTGTTGTGCTATCTCTCCGTAGGTTCTACTTTACGTTTGGGTAGACACTGACTAATCTTTTTTTCCTCTTAAAGTGTGTATACTTGTTATCGCAAAGGTATGCAAGTTGAAGAATCAGGCTCAGCGCGAGTGGATCGAGAGAGTGGAACGCCGGATTGATGTCACTCGACAAATGCTCAATGACATCAAATCCATCAAACTACTTGGTCTTGGGGCGCAGATCGAGTCTATCATCTCCCGTTGTCGGTCGATCGAGATTGCAACCTCCCATAAATTTCGCTCGTTGTTGTGTTGGGAGGTCTTCATTGGTGAGTGGAACGATTTGAACTTGTTTGGTACGGGGTTTATGCCACTGATTCTGACAATGTCTGTAGCCAATTTCTCGTGGCTGGTGTCTCCAGCTGCCTCCTTTGCCTTGTTCACCATAGTCTCGACCGCAAACAAAAGCAGCTCACTCGACCCTGCGCAGGCATTCACCGCACTGTCTCTAATGAGCCTGATTACACTACCAGTTCTCACGTTGATCCAGGCCCTACCCGCTCTGTTTCAATGCTTGGGCTCCTTTACCAGGTTGCAGGAATATTTCGCCCACCACAATACACAGCCTATGTATCTCGACTCAAAACTACTGTCGTCAAGTCCATCACTGCTTGGCCGCTCGGGTTCCGAGGTTCCATCCACAGGCACAGAGAAGGGCCCTCTGATCGCCTTGCGGAATGCCACGGTTAAGTGGAGCACCTCCGGACCTGCGGTAGTTCACGAGATTGATTTCGATGTGCACAAGGGAGATATACTAGCTATTATGGGCCCAGTGAGCGCCGGCAAGACCACGCTTCTGGAAAGCATTCTGGGCGAAACCGTCGTTGACCACGGGTACATCCATACGCACCCTGTGCCGACGGCATACTGCAGCCAGGTCCCCTGGCTTGTTGAGGGGACCGTCCGTGACAATGTCGTTGGGCCTCTGGGTATGCAGCCCGCGTGGTATCACCAAGTGCTCTGGATGTGCGGGGTGGGCGAGGATCTACAAGCCCTGCCGGAGGGGGATTTGACCCGTGTCGGCGGGCACGGGAGTGCTCTCAGCGGTGGACAGAAGCAACGAGTCGTGAGTTCCAGCTGTTGTCGTTTTTGTGTCCCTGTGCCTTACACGTTGTCATCTCTACTAGGCTCTGGCTCGTGCGGTCTACTCGCGATGTGAGCTTGTTATCCTAGACGATATCTTCAGTGGCCTCGATTCCGTCACGATTGACAGAATCTGCCACCGCCTGCTGAGCGTTGACAGAGGGTACTTCCGTCGCAAGGGGATCACCGTGCTACTATCGACGCATAATTGTAAGTGTCACTTTGCACTTTCATCTGTACATTGCGCTGACGTGTTTGATGTGCTTGGGAATGGACAGCCAAGGTTGCCGCACTCGCGGACGAAATATTCGTCCTTGAAGATGGTAGAGTGGCGCAGCATACTTTGTCTTCACCTCCAACACAGTCATCAGAAACTCAATCTCTCTCGACGGAGGCCGACGAAGAAGTTCCCAAACAATGGCCCATGGTATCCGAACGTTGCGTGGAACCCGAAGAGGAAGAATTGCCGTCCGACGACAACAGTCGTTCTCAGGGATCGACACAGTCTTCCCATGTTGAAGATGGGGCTGGCTATCTCTACTACCTCAAATCTACCGGTCGAACTCTTGCATCAGTCTACGTCATTCTCATCCTCATAGCCGCGTTCTGTCAGGACTTTCCCAGTAAGTGCACCTACTATTGGTTCGTGGGTGGCATGAATGGACGGCCGCAACTGACCCTGTGCTATCGCTTTCGATCAGATCTATGGATGAAGTGGTGGTCGAATGCAGATTCGCAAGGCTCAAGCCAGCTTTCAGGGATGTATCTCGGAGTTTTTATTGCCTTCGCAGTCGGCACTGTTGTGGTTGGTGCAGCAGGCTCTTGGTAATAACTTGATCACCCTTTTTAATACCTACCTGTAATCAGGACTAATGGACGACAGGGTCTACCTAATACGTATGATCTCCAACAGCGCAGAACGCCTACATATCGACCTTTTGCGCAGCATAATGAGGTACGCAGTCCATGGCTCCCTTGCATAGCAAGTAGAACTAACACGTTTAGTGCTCCTCTTTCTTGGCTAAATGGAACCACCGCGGGCGATATCCTGAATCGGTATGGTGATGCACATTTGGCTATATCTCAAGCACGTTAACTCATTCCTATCCTGAACAAAATAGATTCAGTCAGGACCTGGAGCTGGTGGATATGACATTGCCACTGGCAGCTGTCAACGCAACCAAGGGTGAGTGCGACGTCTGAGCCGGAATTAACGACTATCCCCTGCTGACTAGCTGCTCGCACCAAGCCACCGGGTCCTGTCTCCTAAAATTAGCAATCCTCTTTGTGGTAGCCAGGTATATGTCCCTGGCGGTCCCACCCCTATTGCTAGTCTGCTTCCTCCTGCAGAAATGCTACCTGCGCACCTCGCGACAGATCCGCCTGCTCAGCATCGAGACCAAGGCCCCTCTGTTCCAGCACCTCTCCGAAGCCCTCAGCGGTGGTGCGAGCATCCGGGCGTTCCAATGGCAGACCTACCTCAAGGAAGCTAATCTTTCGATGGTGGACAATTCGCAGAAATGCACGTACACGCTGTTCATGGTCCAACAATGGCTGACCCTCGCCATGGACCTAATTGCCAGCGGTCTCATTCTTCTGCTAACAATGTTGACGGTTCTGATGCGGGACTCCTTCGACCCGGGGTCATCGGGTACCGCCGTTGTGACCCTTATGAGCTTCACGCAGTCCTTGGCCCGGCTGCTGAAATTCTGGTCGATGACCGAGTCCTGTCTCGGGGCTGTCTCACGGATCCAGTCGTTCACAGCCCAAACCCCCTCCGAATCCAGCGGCAAGGCCGCCCTCCCACAGCAGACGACCTGGCCCAGCATTGGCGCCATCGAGGTGCAGAACGTGGGTGCTGCATATAAGTACGTTCCACTCCCCACACTATTGCTAACGCTTCCCACCCAAACCATGAGATTGTGACTGACCCCGAGTATTCACCATGCAGATCCAAACCCGTCCTAAACGACGTAAGCATGCGCATCGAACCCGGCCAGAAGATCGCGCTGTGCGGCCGCTCGGGCAGCGGCAAATCCTCCTTACTGCTGTGTCTGACCGGACTCCTGCGACCCCACTGCGAGACCGGCACCATTCACATCGACGGCCTCGATATCACTTCTGTACCCCCGCAGGACCTGTGCGCCCGCCTGAGCGTCGTCCCCCAAGAACCGTGCTACCTCCCCGGCACCATCCGCTTCAACATCGATCCGACCCACACCCTCTCCGAGCCGGCTCTAGCCCGCATACTCGACACAACACATCTCACCGAGGTCGTGGCACGACTAGGCGGCATGGACGCCACTCTCGATCCGACGCGCTGGTCCGCCGGCCAGGGGCAGCTGCTAGCGCTGGCGCGCGCGATCGCCCGGCAGAGCAAGGTGTTGATCCTAGACGAGGCGATGAGTCGGTATGTTGTTCCCCCTTACCTGGGCTATTGTCTTAGCTCCTGCGGAGTTGTGCTCTCTGAGGAAAACATAAGGCTAACGCAGAATCCCGATATCGGGCGTGGTAGGGTTGATCAAGCGACACAAGCCCTGATGGATAGGGTCGTTTCGCTGGAGTTTGCGGACTGCACGGTTCTGTCGATCGTCCACCGGTATGACAATATCGCGTGGTTTGATAAGGTGGCGGTGATGGAGGAGGGGCGACTCGTCGAGTTTGAGCGGCCAGACGCTCTGCTGGCGCGGGAGGAGTCGCGGTTTCGGGCGCTGTATGTCTCTAGTGGGTGCTCGTGATGTGGGTACCATCTTCCTTTCACCTAGTTGTCGTCTCTGTGACTAAGATTGTGGGAAAATAATGTATATGTAAATAGTCATGCGGGGGTCCAACAATAAGAGTACGATGCGGTTATCCCTGCTATGGAGGGAGAACGTTGAGGAAACTCTTCCGAACATTTAGCATACATATGGATCCCACTCTTGATTGAGGGTGTTTCCAGCAAGGACCTGCTTTGTTTCTGTACTGGAGAGCACATTAAGGCATAAATTACCTGGAGGTAACTCCTTGTTATGTTGGTCACGTAATGGTGAGTGACTTGCCGGGTCTTTGTTTATTTCTCCCCGCCTTCTTAAGCCTAAGGCTTCACTCTACCAGGGCCTATTTTAGGAACTACGATAGATTCCGAAGGAGGTCTCTTTGGAAGGGAAGGTTCTTGTTGAAGCCCGAGGGAATAGACTCTTGAGCCTATGCCAGGTGATCGATACCTTACATGGGGTATTTCTTACCGAATGTAGGCGGTGACTTAGGGTGCGTCCGATAGCACAGCGCATTTCCTTGTAAACCTACCCGGGTACTACTGTACTGTACAGTAGACTGCGTACAATACAATGTAATACTGAAACCTATAGTATTGGTGAAACAGAGCTACGCACCCAATGGTAACGATCACAGCAGAGGCGGAAATCGGGCGCCCTCACAAGGTTCTTACCCCTTGTATACTATTCTTCCACACTTTCCAGATTACTGACAAACCCGTCTTGTCTACTGAGAGGATATACCATTTCACAAGTGTACTTCATCACCCTTTACGGGGAGAAGTAAACAGTGTGATTGAGTTGATCCCTGTAAGAAAGATGGAGGTGGGCGGTACGGGCGATTCCACGGACCACTAACGCAGTACACTACCAATGAAAGCTGAAGCTTGTGTACAATTTTTGTCTTATTGATACATTGATAGCTGTGGATCGCGTTGGAAGGGGGAAGGGCCTTCTATGCTATTGACGGTATTTTTGGAAATCCATATCTCCTGCTCACCTCCCAGACACATGCTTCTAAAACTCTATATTGGTCAGCTTTCGTCGGACCAAATCGACACATGGCGGATCTGGTTTGGTCTGGTCTTTTTTTTTTCCTTTTTTTGTTCCAGTTTTACTTTCTTCTTTCTTCTTCTTCCCTTTATTTTCTTTTCTTTATTGCTCTTTTTTTCCCTTTTGCCAGCGTGTTTTCAATTGCTTGTTGTTGTTGTTGTTGTTGTTCTTTGACAGACAAGGATCTTGGCTAATCGAGTTGGTTCTCTCTCTTCCTTGTCACACAAGATGTACAATCTTGCACGGCATAGATGGCCAAATCGATAATTAAGTTCAATCGCAGTTCTGGTGAGTGGTTTTTTCCAGCCCATATCCGTGAATTGTTAGGTTAAATGTGACAAAGACTAATCTCCCGGCAAATTGGAGGCTTTTCTGCATTTTGACTTAGTATTGAGTGGCCAGGTAGTTAGCAAAGTGATAAAGCCGACCCCCAGAGCTTACAAACCTGAATTTCTTTCTCTGCTTCCCTGCTGCCCCTCTTGTGTTAGTCACAGCAACTATCTCACGCAGTCCTCATCACCCGAATCTGGCCCCAACATCCGTCTGATATTCACAGTTTCCTCACTCCCGCCGACAACCCACCTACATCAGCAGGATGGTTGGAGAAAATGATCCCGCAGAACATCAACGCAAGCGTCCCAAACTTTCAAATGACGAGTCAGGAGAGCGGGATGAAAACTGTATGTCATGCTGTCTTCGGGAGACCTTTCGAAAAAAACAAAAACTAATCACTTTGGAGTCCCCTAGGTTTGACACCCTCCCCCATTTTTCGTGGCCTACATTTCACCCCAAACGAAAGAGCGACAGAGCAGGATGACCCTTCCGTTGACTCGCGCCGACCACCGAATGGCAACGATGACAGTGGCCCGGTCGACACGAAAGACGACGAGACCGAGACCGAGACCGAGGCATGCAGTTCCCCGGACGTTCCCTACAATGTTATCCGATCGGCCGGGTTGGCCTACCCCGATGGTTGCTGTGAGCTTCTCATTTGCTTAGTGGCCAAGGATACCCAATTCCAAGTGCGCATGGAGTACAAGAAGCTCCCGCCCGACTACAAGCTCACCAATGGGGCGACCCTCATCGAAAGATGTGTCTTTCTGCATGACAAACACCGCCGGCAGGAGCTGGTGGATTCTTTGATGCCGTTCCTACAGCCCATTTTCAAGGAGCACAACCCACCACGCACCCTCGACTTGGACGCCCATCTGCGCAGCTCGCAGGTAAACCTGCGCCTCGAGATCCACGACCACCCGGAGCTTTTTGTCGGCTTCCTTGATGTGCCACTTGTGCCAGCTGTCTTTCAAGAAATGGCCGACGTTCCGCGATTCGAGCTGTCGCAGGTGGAGTCCTTCCGGACTATCCAGGTCAATAAGGTCTTCGAGGTGAGGATTCAGGGCAAGGCCTTCCTCTACAAGACCACGACAGTCGGAACCGGGATCCTGGAAGCTGAAGCTCTCCGGCTGCGAGAGATTGCGGCGCGATGTCCGGCTTCGCTTCGTGTGCCCCGGCTAGAAGGCTTTCTCGGCCTTGGGTCGCCATTCCCGGGGATCCTACTGGCGTTCATTCCTTCGACAACACTGGGCAGTATGATCAACATAGAGACAGAGGTTGCTCTGGCTGAACGACGCACGTGGTCCGACCAGCTTCATGATGCGGTTTACTCCCTCCACCAGGGAGGGTGTATCTGGGGCGACGTGAAACCCGATAACGTGCTGGTCGATCACAACCGGGATGTATGGCTGGTGGATTTCGAAAACGGCCTCACTCCAGGCTGGGTTCCCTTGGAGCTTGTGGGTACGAAGGCCGGAGACTTGGAAGGGTTGAGCAATGTACGAAAGAAGTTTCTGCAATTGACGGACTCTGCAGAAGAGGTCGATAGTTAGGTTTATCTCGTTGAAAGAAGGTAGGGGTTTCATCAGTGTCGTATAATGACGGTTTCGTTTCTGGATCAAAAATTCCGTTTCCAATCTAATTTCTGTAATGAAATTATGAACCTCGAGATGAATTATTGCAGGATTCAAGATTCGAGGAGATATCTGTACTGCATCTAGTGAAAAGTGTCCCTGTCACTACCTGTAGGACTCTGGGAATAGCTATCATGTCAATTGAAGCTTGATCGAATAGGAATATCAGCCAGTGTATGTACCTGACCTGCCTGAATGACCTTGTGATGTCAGTGTGGTTATAGTAATGTAAGGTGTTTTCATATAGACTGCGCACGCAGTCGGTGATGTACATACAGAAAAAGAATTACAGGCAAACACTCAGCCCTGTAGTGAGGTGTACATCAATTGAAACCTAATGTCAATGGATAAGCCAATCTGTGGTATGGAGTGACCCGTGCAGACAATTCACTCAGGTGCAATACCATTCCTTATTGACAGGCAGATATCTAGTCAAACTCCTCGTGGTCTTCCTCGTCGAGCAACTGTAGCAACGAGTTCCGAGTGGCCTCCTCGATGAACAGCTCCAGTTCCATGCAGTCTGGAAGACCGTCCAGGGCTGGCTCCGGAGCATCTCCGAGACACTCCACTAGGAAGTCCTCTCGAGTGCCCTCGAAACCGGGTGACAGAGATCCAGGCGAGATATCCTCTCCGGGGCATACGTCTTCGATATCCTGCACCAAGTGCCTTTGCAAGGAACACTCCAGATGGCGTTGCATGAGTCCCGGCAACCTGAATTCATCGACCTCTGGAAGAACGCCTCCGGGAGTGTGCAGCCAATGCGGGCCCATTCGTGTTTCCCCTAAGCTCATCCCCTCAAGTGCAGGGCAAATGGACTCGCCTACCTCTGGAGCCTGACCAGATACCTGCATCAGAGACTGGAACGAGAGACTCCGGGCCGGGCCCTTCGCAACCAGGCTGGCCTTCCACCCCGCCAACCACGCCGTGAATTGACGCGCATTGTCCACACGGAGTCCCTCAACCTCCAGCTCCAAGTCCAGGGACAGCCTAAATAGCCGCGCAAACTCTTCCTTCTTGAAGTGCTGCGGGTCGTCGCACACTAGGTCCAAGTCACACCATGGCTCCATGCAATAAGCCCGAAACCCATACACAAACACATCATTCAAGACGATGACCCCTCCATACATAGGTATAGGCAGTAAGGTTGCCGGCCACTCTTTGAACAAGAATTTGGCGCGGTCGCGAATCGCATAATCCGCGACGCTGCTAGGATCCATGTATTCTAGCACTGTGCTGAAGATCTCGCCCTGGTACGCGGAGCAATAGACGGCCAGCCGCTCGTAGACTGTGAAGTTGTTGTCATCGGTGTCGTCGCCGTCGTGGTTCTCAGAGCCCCGGTGCTCGTGGATCGTCACGTTGAGCGTGTAGCCCTCGCTCTCTGGGAAGATCGCGCGGAGCGTCTCGATCCAGCGTCCGCTGACGGCGTCCTTGCTGTTTGCTTCCATTTTCTTTTTCCGTTAATTGTCTTGTGTTGGTCTTGATGACGAAGTGTTCCACTGTAGTGTTTGAAGGAATTTATTGGCTTCTGCCCTGAAGTTGTAAATGTGGGGTCTAGTAGCGACACAAGGGGGTTCATGTATTGTTCGGGTGTTGAGTGTTGAACAAGGAGCTTGCTGGAAGGTCTCTTGTAGGATCCCATTGAGCATCAGATTCTTCATATTTTCTGTGCAGATCTCCGTGATGTTGCTTTGACTGAGATGTGTTTATCGTTGGACGGGGCTTGACTGCAAGATGATATAACTGACAAGCTCCGTATAAAGGCTACGGTCACAATATGTTTACCATGTACACAACCTTGAAAGAGATCGATACGTCCGCCATTTAGCAAATAGCCCTGCAGTGTGATTCTTGGTTCATCCAGTCTGCGATTCAAGGGGTCTGCGAAAGGTGTCAATTTTGTTTTGGCATGGGGCAATCACAAACCACGACAAGGTAAGTCCTGTGTTTGTCATGGCACTTGAATGCTTAAATGAAATCTCAGAAAATGTTCCCTGCTAGATGAATTGGAGATTCCATGGCGATAGTGATAACAGCGCAGCACAATAGCCATTTAGCCACCCAGCAACCTAATTGCATTGGGATTGATGTACAGAGTATCTTAGAGTTAATTGTGCCATTTTACATCTGGCAGCAGCCGAAGTTTATACACTTATTGTTAAAGTACACTTCACGAGATTTACTACAACTGCTGATAATTTGAATTGCAGCCCTTGCCGGTTTCCGTTGTCAGAGTACATCTGTGGAAGGTCACATCGCCTAGTATTCAAGGATGTCTGGAGCAGTCTTACTGCCGACGCCATGGTGGGCAATTGGCGAAATATCCGCTGTCAGAACGTGGAGTCAAATTAGGGCTGTAGCGACGATACCCACCACTGGCGGGAGACTGTGGCTCGATATCCGGATCCGCCCGCCTGCAGATCAAAGCCTTGAATAGGTACCAAGATAATTACATCTTGCTATTCGCTTCAATTAGTATGACCTTGCTCAGCTGGAGAACCTATCGTAAAGAAGTCATATTTACGGTCGGCACTCTCGCAGCGAGCCAGTAAATAGCCACTACTCTTTATACACTTGACCTTTCCAGGAGAAGCAGTGACCAGTCCTTTACCTTTGCCAAAGCGGTTTCGGGGAACATCATGCTAGGTCTACGGGCTTGTAGGTGTGTAAAGGAATAGTAAATATGGGTAGGTGGAAAGTACTTTAGATGATAAAATTGCTCATACAGGGTCCAGGCCACGAGAATTGTAGGACAATTGTCAAGGAAACCCTTTCACGACCCCACCACACTGCCAACCAACTACCACTTTCTAACCACCTTCTAGCAATAGCGCAAAGATTCAGTGTCGTACCCGTCACTATCCGAATATCAGGAGGCAAAGAATAGGCCTTTTACAACAGGATGGTGATCAAGTGTAGGCAGGCCCTAATCACTATAAGTGAGACTTTCAGACGCGAATTCACGCTGCTCCAATGATTTAGTATGGGGTACACGGGTCGGAAACTGTGAGGGGAGCAAGATAACTTGTGATATTTGCAGGGAACTGAGTGTTGCTGGCAACGTGCTTGCAGGGCTGAGTATGCCAACTTGCGATTACACCAAGGCTTTATGCGCCCGACAGCCTGTCAGAGGCCTGACTCCTAGGGTACGAAGATAAAGAAGACGGTGTTTACCAATACAGAGCGGCCAAGGCAGCGGATCTGTATCGAGAAAGTATTTCATGCTTTCTACCTAGCTTCCAACGAAGCTGCCAGCAAACGGCTCAAGCCATTGGGCGACGAGTACTATGTTACTAGCCCTGAGTGATCTACTGCTGACGAGCCACCCTAGCTAACAATTAACAGTGACGAATCTGAATTAGGTGAGCCTTGGGCATAAAGAAACGCATAGTCGGCGCTGCGGAGCTACTTCTGATGGAAACGCCTTACTATCATCCTCGTTTCTCGCCGGGTTCTGCAGAGTGAGTATTATCTGCCTTGCGCTAGGAAATCGAGCTAAACCTGGGGGGGTGAAGTATTCTTGTCACCACCCGACCGGGAAGTACCGGCTAGAAGCAATTTATAAAAAGCTCAGATTGCGACACTTCTTTTCCTCGCTCAACTATCCCAAGTCCAGGGTGGAAACATAGAAGAAAGGATTGTTGATTGGCGGGCCATTATCATCTGCACGGGGAACGCGGAGGAGTCGGACCCCGAGTGTCCGACCCGAATGCCGATGGGCCGGCTCCTAAACACTACAAAGTGTCCCTGTGTCCCGTATTTAGTCCTCTGCTTACTCTTCACAAAGACGCATCTCTGCACCCCAAAATACATTGATAGCGTTCCCCAATCTCATTCTCTAGTTATCAATAATTCTTCTCCTGCAAGCCAGCAAGACATGGCTCACTATATCACAACCCACGACCCCAACGGAGCCGCCATTTTTGCCGAAGGTTCCACCGAACAACATGCGATACCCATCCCAATCGGCGAAATCAAGATCCTTTCCTCTAGCCACTCGTTCCCGATGGATCTCTCGAGTGAGGCTGATATCGAGCAATATCGCGAAGACCGCACCACCACGTTCTTTCCCGGTAGCCGTCGGATCTGCCCCGAGGGCGGGACCGCCACATGCATGATCACGATGGAACCCGGCGCTGAGAGCCCTATGCACCGCACCCTGACTTCAGACACGGTGGTACTCCTCGAAGGCGAGATGGAGATCACGTTGGACTCCGGGGAGACGCGGACCCTGAAAGCGGGCGATGTGCTGGTGCAGAGAGCTACGATGCACCGATGGAGGAACATCACTCCCAACAATGGTCGTGCCCGATGGGTGGCTTTCATTCAGGCCTCAGCTGAGCCCCTTCAGATTGGAGGTAAATCCCTCGATAACGAATGGGCTCATTGATGTTGCGTTGGGCTTATGAAGATGGAGTGGGTTGATCATGCGGGTTGATCATGCGGGTTGATCATGCGGGTTGCTCTTAGTGTATATATAATCAGAGATGCTTAAACAGATCTTTATTTGACCAGGGTCGTAAGTGCTACTAGGTCGTGCCGGCAAATACATTCAATTATTCTTTGACTTGTTTTCTCTGATCATCCCTCATAGTCCTACAGTGGTTGGTACCAGTTTGATACGTAATTCGTCGACAAAGGATATGAATATGACCTCATGTGTAGGCTTTCTCTAAATAAATCCATCCTCCCATGGACTACTGTCGACCACGTGTATTGTTGCTTAGTTCCCTCTCAGAAGTATGCGGTGGGGACGGATTTACCCGGGATTTGCGTCCCCGGGATTTGCAGCCTCCTCCACCTCCACTCATGACTCACCACGCGTGTATCGCAAATCGTAATGTCAAAAGACAAGCCATTGTAGATGTACTATGGAAATATGTTCGGTCGTAGCATGCCTTATGTGACTCACAATGCCCTGAGATAGATAAGACGCGGGAGTGATGCAGATTGAGCATCATGTCCAATTCAAGTTTCCTTCACCAATCTCCTCCCCAAGCAGCCAATCCCTAGACTACCTATCATCCTCTCCAATCAATATACACACCATCAACTATCGCAATGGTCACCCCGGACTATGTCTATACCTTCTTCCGCATCCCCAAGGAAGCGGCCACGATCCGTGCATCAGCTGCACAGTATCGCGCCCTCCGCCTGGAAGCCCTCCGAGTCTCGCCTGGCTCCTTCTCCTCCACCCACGCCATCGAGTCTGCCTTCACAGAAGACGACTGGATCGCCCGCCTCACCGTGCCAGACCGCGAGGTGTTCATCTGCGCGGCCACCCCAACCTCTACCGCCACCAGCCCCAACGGCACTGCGAATGGCGACGCCAAAACGCAGTGGATCGCCCAGGTCACCCTGCGCGGCCCCACCCCAGCTGACCAGTTCGCTCTTCCCGCCGCCGCAAACCCGCCCGCGCCGCGCCCGGACAGCGAGGAAGAGCGCTGGCAGATGCTGAGCTTGTTCACCCTCCCAGCCCACCGGGGCCGCGGGCTGGGCGCGCAGCTGTGCCAGGCCGCACTGGAATGGCTGCGGGAGTACCGGGCGGAGCCCAAAACGGTGCAGGTGCGGCTGATCGTCAAGGCGGGGAACGATGTGACGGTCAATCTGTATCGGAGGCTGGGGTTCGAGGACGCAGGGCGGGCCACCTTGGTCGAGGCGCTGATTGCGAATGGAGATGAGGAGTTGGTAGAGGTGGTGAGGAAGTCCCACGGAGCGGTGGTCGATGAACAGAGACAGGGGTTGGTGATGATTGTGAGGTTGCGGCGCGGGTAGAGCTGGGTGGGAAAAGGCGGTGTAAGACTGTCCTGTCCTTGGATAAAGGCTTGAGGAAATTGCGAGATACCCTTCGATTCGACTCATAGAATTCGGCAGCATAGTGTACGCCTAGAAGCCCAGCGGTGGCAGAGTGGCGACTACCTGATACGGAGAAAGCAGATAATGAATCAACACCAGTCCGTATCGGCGAGACACGCAGTATGCATACATAACTTTGTCAACAATACTGGCAAAGTATACTGATCAAGAAAGATCTGTATCAAATATCTACAGGCTGTTGCACTGCAGCAGACCGAAAACCAGGAAGAATTGCTCTGGTCACAAAGCTGTTCGGGCGACTAGAAAGGAGACAGGATATCTGTCAGCTCCAATGAGCTGGAGAGTGAGAACAAGGCCCTTGGCTGCCGCGAGCTCGAAGCACTGTGTACCGCAAAGCGTCTTCTCTGTGGGTTCGGTAGATGACCGGGACGAGGGCGTGGTGGAGAGTGCGATTTGCTCGGACCAAGCACGAGAGTGCTTCTGCGTCGTCCATGCATTGGGCTATCATGACGAGGAATTCGACTGGAAGGGTATCGAGGGACATTATGAAGCTGAAAGGAAGGTTTCTAGGTATCGTGTCTCTGCTAGCAATTCGACGAGAAGATTAAGCGCAGTGAGCGAGAGAGTGTTCGGAGCTGTTTATCCGTTCCAGACAAACTCCCCACCTATACGAGCATCTCCACTGGTTGGCTTCATGACCACGTCTCCACTACCTACTCATTCTCTACCCCATTGGACCTGTTTGGTTAGTAGTGAGTAGTAACTATAGCCGAATGCGATGCGGTGGCTGAGCAGCTGTTCTGCTCTTCGTGGCTGACTGCGCCACGGTCTTTTGCTAATGCTCGGGTTCGGCATCTGATGATGTGCACTGAGTGCAGGGAATGAGGAAACAGCAATTGGTGGTTTCAATGATCACTTTCGTAAAGTCCTCCTTGGACCGCATTGGCGCACGCAAGCAGCGAACCCAGTGTGAATAACTCACGGCCGCACACTGCCACTGTGGGGTCCATGGGCTTTGTCTCATGAGTGTCCCGACCTTGGGAAAACCAGCGGGCTCGCACTCTGAGTAACACTGGTGCAAACACCACGACGTGGCATCAAATCTCACTAGTCAGTTCCATGAAGTGTTTGTCGCCCATATCGCAGCATCTCTGCAAAGCTTCTTCTACCTCTTTCTAACCTATTAGACAATTCATTGACAAGACAGGCAAGATTGGCTATATACAGCTACTATCATGAGCAAGTCTGTGCGACCAAACCCGCGTCTACTTATGTATCCGTTTATGCCAGAAGAAATATCCGTAGGTCCCCGTAAGGAGCAGCGGGTACATCGCCTTGTACGCCCACCGGGGGATGGAGTTCTGCATATTCTGCATGGCGTATCGCTCAATGGTTGTGGCCGGCGAGCCCTCCGTGAAGAACATCATCTGCGCGACATCCTGCGCCCGCTTCTGAAACACAGCCGCGCGGGCAAACAGCTCCGTCTCATACTTGACCAGCGCAGAGTCCAGGTCCGAGGCGCGGACCACCGCTCCCAACGCCTGCGCCAACTGCAACACATCCGTGAGGGCCTGGTTTACCCCTTCCCCAGTGAAAGGGCAGATGACGTGGGCCGCGTCGCCCACCAGCGTCAGTCCCGGGCGGTGGTCCCAGCGGAAGCCGGCGGGCAGGGTATAAAAGGAGCGGGATGCCACAGGCGAGTCCACCCCGGCGTGAGCGATGAAATCCACCAGCTCTGGGGCATAATCACGAAACTCGCGGATCTGCGCCGCCCGCACAGCCCCCGGATCGCTCAGCGCGTAGTCAACCTGCTGCTCCCACCCCTCCGGCCGCGCCCGCCACAACCCCATGTTAATGCTGCCGTCGCCCAGCTGCTGCGCCGCCAGCATGCAGCCGGTCGAGTACGCGAAGATCGACCCGCCCTTGAGACGTGCCACACATTCCGGCGCGGTGCGAGCCGCGTCTGGGATCTGGAGCGCGAACCCCCCGATGCCGGCGTACTGGGGCACGGTGTCGGAGAGCACTGCGCGCACTTTGCTCCACGCGCCGTCTGCACCGACGATGAGATCAAAACCGGATGCGGTCGTCCCGTCGGCGAACTCCAGGATGTGGCCTTGTTTTGGATCAGTTGTGTCGGCAGCCGCCACGCGACGCAGTGGACGTTTCCACTGCACCGTCCCGGGCGGCAGGGACTCGACCAGCATGCGCCGGAGGGTAGACCGGTCGATCTCTGGCCGTCCGCGACTGTGATCCTTGGTGGTGGGACTGAGTTGGATATATGGTTTGAGCTTTTCATCGCACACGAGGAGCGCCTCGCCGTCGAAGCGCGCGTATTTCAGGAACTCCTCGTACAAGCCCGCGGCCTTTAGGGCGGCGAGCCCGCCATTCTCATGCAGATCCAGGGATCCACCCTGTGCACGGTAGTCGATGGAAGGCTCCGCCTCGAACACCGTCACTTCAACCGTCGGCTGGTTGAGGAGTAGTCGCGCGAGAAGGCATCCGGCGGGGCCGGCACCCACGATGGCTACTTTGAATGCCATGCAGAGTAGAGGAAGAGAGGGATGGTCGGCTCTTAAAGCAAAGCCCAAGGCTCAAAGAGGAAACTATCAAAGATTTGATCTTGGTTGAGGAAGAAGAGGAGTAGTTGAATGGGACAAAGAGAAGAGGAAGACACGAGTCTTTTATTGTAGGGCATCGCAATGCTTACTCAAATAGGCTAAGTGGCCATGTGGATTCCGCGTTAGGCAACCCATGCGCTGCGCTGCACAGCCCGGCTGCTTTAGAGGGAAACAAACGCTCCAAATAAGTTATCTTATTAGTGCTTACTCAGGCTGAGATCTGAGCTTGGTACTTCCTTAGTGAACAATCAGAAGTCGTGGAAACCAAGACAAAGATACTAAGGCTGATGGCCGTTCACACTTCGGCAGCGGACTGGTAGACTAGCCGACGAGCCCGGTTGTCAGGAATGAAGGATATATCATAAACTCAACTGGTCTTTCTAGCTAAGCGTAAGATAGCAGGGCGAAGGGAAGACTCTTCGCACATACTGGAGAAAGCGACAGAGTATAGGGCTTATTTTCAACAGCAGAAACACCGGAAGGGATTCGACGACCACATGTGAGCCATAAAACTCAGAATACAATTTCAAGACTTGATACACTCCGCAGAGAGACAAAAATAGCGGAAAGAACAGCACAAATTGACTCGATGAGCTCAGGAAAGCATATACACACTTATCTAGGCATTCCCAATGTCAAGCGTCTCCCATCTAACCTCAACCAACATCTCATGCCCAATCCATCCTCACAGCGCGGTGGCTGTTGCAGCACTCTCGCTGGCGATACTAGCCAAGTAGGCCGCCTCAGTGGATTCCGCGTGTGCCACCGCCGACTGCAAGGCATCGTGATCCGCCTGCTGCTCCGCTGTTTCGGTGGCGTTATCCCACGCGGTAGGAGGCGCAGCCGAATACACCGCGGGACCTGGCGCAGTCTCCCCCGGGAGGGCGCCGACATCGACATTATCGGCACAGTCCTCGTCGGAGGTAGTGTAGTTGGCCCCAATCCGCCCTGTACCACAAGAATACTTACCGCCGTTGGCACCATGCGTGAAGCTGTACTCAGACTGCCAGCTCGCAGACACATTCACCCCGATGCGCACCCACATGTACAGACCGTCCTGCAGGGTATCGCCCAGGTACTCGTAGTTGAAGACCGGATCAGAGGCGGAGAAGGCCGTCTCCTGGTGGAAGGTGTCATCGAGGGCATTACCGATCACCGCATATGGGTTGAGGGTGTAGGGGTATGTGGTCTCGACGGCGTCGATGAGGGCCTGGTCGAAGAAGAACTGGCCGATGTGGCTGACGCTGCCGCCGGTGATGGTGCCGTTTGGCAGCACAACCACGTTGGTGTGGGCGATGATGTGGATATGGTTGGTGCGGCCAGTGTAGTGGCCGGGGAAGATGGTCTGGATGCGCGCCACTCCGTCCTGGTCCGCCATCTGCACGGCGCGCAGCCAGGTCGCGTTCACGTTGGAGTGGTCTAGGAAGTCGCCGTTACCCTCGTTGATCACCCCGCTGTACACCCCGGTCGCGTTCGCGTTCCACATATCCCAAAACATGCCTGAGACGGGGAGACAGCTCTCGTAGTCGATGAATTGCGCCTCCACGATGATGGGGACTCCGAGTTGGTCCTCGCGCGCGTCCTCGCGGATGAGCTCGCCGGGCACGTAGTACGGTCCGTTGTCACCGTAAGGGGTCAGAAGCACATGGTGCTCGTCCGAAAAGACCTCTCCCGGGCGTGATGGGTCGATCCGCAGCCCAGTGTGGAGATGAGTGGTGTTCAGTATCTCGACGGTAGACCGCTTGCGCCGACGGTGATGGTCAATGATCTCGTCGCGGCGGGCGCGGAGACGCAGATTGCTGCCTGAATTCTCCAGGTCCCCCGCACACGACTCGAGACTGCGTCGCGCTTTGATTGTGTGGCGATGACGGGCCATCGCGGCCTCTAGGGTTTCATGTTCGAAGGCGCCGTGGGAGGCGGCTAGGGCAGCCCAACCCACAATCAGATGGTGTTGGAGTTTCATATGTCCTAGACGCTTGGGTTCTGATTGTCTGGAGAAGGGCGTCTCGGTCGGAACGTTGGATTTGGAGGGTTAAGTGTTAGCCGCATCCAGGCTTTATACTTCCCATGACTGGTGTATTCCGGCTGGCATCCATACTGTTCGGACTGGGCCCCTCTCCCTCATTCTCCCATGCGCCATCACCTCCCCTCCCTCGCATCCAGCCACTGCAAGTCATCCCAATTCCCATATTCAGTAACGTCGTCCGACATACATACCGGACACGGCGCAAAATAAGTCCTCGGCTGGTCTGGAAAGTGAATAGGATGTCAACCGAGCGGGATGAAGGCTCGCTAGCTTCGACCATGTATACGTGTTCTGCAGCACGGATAGTGCGTCCACTTTCCTCCGGCTAAGATCAGCACTCGTGCATGAGAATCAGGAAATGACGATTCGTCGGTGACATGCTGAGCCCTGGCACCAGGAATGAGTGGCCTTCAATTTGGTCTAATGTGCTGTTGAACCGTACATCCATGATGTCTTCCCACGCAGCCACCTGGAAAATTAGGGCTCGGATTGACAATAATCTCGGTCAGCCAAGGAAACATCTTACAATCTTCCATAAACCCCGCATTGTGAATCTCCGCTCCCATTTTCATTTATCTACTCTGAAATCCCCCGCACAATTTGTGGGACCCTGAAAGTATGCACCGCCAAGGCTCCGATCATTACTTGTTCCAGTACTACCTTGCGAGCGGGCGGGCCGGGTTGTAGAAGTGCCGTGCTTAAATATGAGTCGCGCTGCCGGCGTCGCTTGGCACGGCGATGATATGCGGTCTACACCAATCGCTCGCGAAGGATATGCAAGCAGATACATCAAGATATGTGGGGCTTTTGGATATTTCGACACATACTGGGTGTGAATCACCTCTGGAAACAGGTTCATCATCATTTTGGACACGATACAGTGGGTGTACGAGGCCAAATAGTCCATCCATGAAGATTACACACATAGATACAATCTATAGACCGATAGCTTTTCACCCCGTGGCTGCTGCAATGACTCTTTCCCAAACTTCAATTCACTCCACCCTGTACTCTGCCCTCATCTACCGTTGATATGCCACGGCAATCCCCGACGGAGGCCCGTTGATTAGCCGAATCGGGGTTGCTCGCCAGGTATCCTCCTCGACGTAACTCGTCCCGTTAGCCTGAAAGACCAGTGCGTACTGATGTGGAGCCCCGTATTGCGGCCAGGTTGGGATGCCCATGCCCCCCTTGGTGGTTGTCGCTGGTACAGTCATGCTGCTATTGCTAGCCGTCTTCCAGGCGTTCGGGTCTAAGGTCGCGACGAAGCTGACCCAGCTTCCGCTCACCTCGACTGCCAGCTCCACGAGTGACTCATTGTCCAGTGGGATCTTCGCGTAACCGGTACCGCGCTTATTGTCGAAGACGAATGGGAGCTCGTCGCCGTGCTGTGCAGTGCGTTGGCCGTCACCCAGGGCAACGTTCCATCGATAGCAGTATGTAGTCACATTGTTGCGAGACCAAGTGGCGCACGCCTGACGTCGGTTGGCAATCACCGTCGCGTCGCCCTGATACAGTCGAGCTTTCACAGCCGGCACTGACGAGACATTGGCGTAGGCGGTGGTGATCTGGTCGACCAGCACTTGCGGCAAAGCGATCCCGGGAGCGACGCCATACGATTGCGGATCTAGTATGCGCCGTTAGTCAACTCGAACTTCACTGAAATGGTCAAGCACGCGAATGCCAGTCAAGGTGATCGTACTGGCAACCAAGTCCGCAAAATCCTCGTCCGTCTCAATCTCTACTCCAGCAGGCATCTGCGCGGTCCCTTCGTCTGTCACGGCCCCGAGGATGATCGGCACGGGCACGAATTTGCGCGTGTAGAGTGAGCGACTCGGCTGCTCGGAGACGATATCCCCATCAATAACGGGGAACCAACCGTGCGGGCTCGTAGCATTGATGGCAGCATTCATCTCGGCAAAGGGCACCGTCCGCAAACAGGCCATGCGATCCGGGCTGACCCAGCATGTGTCCTTCCCCGGGACCATGCCATACTCCAACGCGAATGCGGGAGAGGGATGCACCTGTTGGGTGAGAGCGTCGTACAATGGCTGGAAGTACTGCGTGCCGTTGAGCCCGCGGGCGGGCACAGGGTTCCCGCTCTGCAAGATAGCGCCGCGCAGTAAGCCGTCGTCGCGCCCCGCGTACGCTGTGAGCTGGAAACCCACGCTGGAGGCCCCCGCGCCCTGGCCCCAGACGGTCACCCGCTGTGGATCGCCCCCGAGCCCGGCGATGTTCTCCTGCACCCACTGCAGAGCGTACCTCTGGTCCCGTAGACCTACGTTGGTTGCCCCTGTGTCGCGGATCTGGTTACTGTAAAGAAATCCCCAGGCGCTCAGTCGGTAGTTGAAACTGACGGCTATGACGGGCTGGTCTTGTTGGACCGACCGCGCGACAAAGGAGCTGAGGTTGTAGCGTCCGTCGCGGGCGCTGCCGCCTGAGAAGCCCCCGCCATGGAAGTAGATAACCACGGGGAGGAGGTCGGTCACAGTAGCCGTGCTCGTGTTCTTGTGGGGTCGCACGATGTTGAGGTACAAGCAGTCCTCGGACATTTGCTCGGGGGGGTCGGAAGAGGCATATCCTACGCAGGAAGGAGCGTAGGCCGTCGCGTTGCGCGTGCCATTCCAGCTGCTCGTGAGACTATCGGCGGGATGAAAGCGTCGGTCATCGACGGGGGCTTGCAAGTATGGGATGCCTAGGAAGACGTCTTGCTCGAATGAGGTCGAGTACACCCCAGTGTAGGTTCCATTGAGTGTCGTGCCAGTTGGAGGACTGGTCGCAATGGCTGAGACTGCGAGAAAGTAGGCCACCGCTATGAGGCGCAGCATTGTGGACTGCGTCACTTTCCTTCTTCGTGAATAAGGCACGTATCAGCGCAAAGGTCTAAGTGATTCTTCGTGTGATGGTAGCCAGGAAAAGGCAAGGAGGATGCGCTGGTTGTCACAAGGTAGACAGACATAAACAGACCTTGAAAACATTTGTATCATAAGCTACAGAGGGCTCGTCGTCATTTGTCCCCACCTGATCGGGCCTCCTCTCATCAATCAAGAATGGTTCGCAAAGGACCCCCAATTCGGGAAGACTAGAGCTACTGCCCAAATCTTCCATCAACCTGCCGAGAAACAAGACATCGGCTTGCAAACTCAACGATCCCCGCCCAAGCATGCTTGATTCTGGGCCAAAGACTCAAAGCATCTCTTAACTCCGAGTGTCTGACGTACAAGCGAGAGGGGGGCTCTTACTACTAGTTTAGTGTGCTTTTAGCTCAGATTGAATTATACCATACTCTTTGATATGAGACTAACGTCGGACATTGCCGATTTTCAGATACCACGCGGGGTAAACCCACTTCTCCACTCGGACATGCTTCAACTTCCCTTAACCCCACAAAACGAGCCCTGAGCACCACGTATGACCCCGGACGGAATCCTGGTACCATCAATTACTACACCCTCGTCATGCCATTTGCATGCTCGTTCTATTGCACCCCGAATGCTGAGCGAGAGATTGGGAAGAGATTGGATGGTTTAACGTTTGGCAATGGACGGATGGATACCCTACGGACACTCCACAGAATGGACTCGGCAAAGTAAAGCGTAGGATATGCCTCGTTGGCCTATAAATGACACGTAGCGCTTCCGCCAGACTCGGATTCACTACCTGGCAAAAGTCTACAAGCACGGATATACCCACCATTCTCCCAGGCAGCAATGTGGTCGCTCTTCTACTTCCTTTTGTATGCAGTATTTTGCAACTCAACTCAAGTCACGTCGGGCGCGGTCCAGGCGAATCCCCCGACTGCAGAAACCTTGAATGGAACATACCGGGGTGAATACCTTCCCGAGTATCAGCAAGACCTTTTTCTGGGAATCCCTTTCGCTCGTCCACCATTGGAACATCGGCGATTTGCGAACCCGGAGTCCCTGAACACCGCGTGGACGGGTGCCCGCCCGGCAACAAAATATGCGTTTGTGAGCAATTCCCCTTGGTTGATGTTATGCTGTTTTGTTCTAAGTCAAGCTCGCTTGTAGGAGTGTATTGGCTACGGTGGGGGCCAGAAAGGGTATCTCCAGAGCGAGGATTGTCTCTACCTTAACGTGATCCGGCCCTCCGGCTACCAGAACGATAGTCTGCCAGTGTTGGTATGGATCCATGGTGAGTCAATTTCTTTTTCAGTTCCTGGCTTGTCCCATCCTTCTCTCTCTCATTCCTTTTCTTTTGCTATTTTTTTTTTTACAGACAGAAAGCGGGGTCCTTCTGGATGCTAACCTCGTACATTCCTGCAGGTGGGGGCTTCAAAGAAGGAGGTACTCCCGATAAGCGATATAACCTAACCTTCATTGTCAACAACTCCGCCGTCATCAACGAACCCATCATCGCAGTGAGTCTAGCTTACCGTCTGGGACCCTTTGGCTTCTTGAACGGCGACGAGGTGGCCGCCAGCGGGGCGTTGAATCTCGGCCTCAAGGACCAGCGGCTGGCGCTGCATTGGATCAGGGAGAACATCGCGGGACTTGGAGGTCTGTTGTCCTTTACTACCCTTTCTCCATATTTCCCTATGTCTGTCTACGGTTCAATAACAGAAGTATGCGGATCATCTGACACAAGATATCTCAAACCCGCAGGTGACCCGGACAAAATCACTATTTACGGACAAAGTGCTGGGTCGGAGAGCGTGGGCTACCATCTTCGCGCATTTAACGGACGAGACGACAAGCTTTTCCAGGCGTAAATGGAATCCGGCCCTGTCATTCCGCAAGGGCCATTGAACCTGACCTCTGAATATCAAGGAAGGTTTGATGGGATTGTCGCAGCCGCTGGCTGCGGAAGCGACCAGAACTCCACCAAGCTGGACTGTCTGCGCGACCTTCCCTTTGCCACCCTGAACAATATCCTCAATACGACTACGTACAACACGGGGTGGGAACCGACCATCGACGGTGATTTTGTGGCCCGTTACCCCAGCGAACAGCTGGAAGCCGGGGCGTTCGTGCACGTGCCCATCATTGCCGGCACGACGACCGACGAGGGCACGACGCAGTGTCCGAAGCCAGTGAATACCTCTCTCGAGTTGAGGGCCTGGATGACTGGTATGTAATTTCCACACACTCAGCTGGAGAAAAGGGGGTAGGCTTGTGCTAAATCAGAGAACCCTATGACCCAGAGACATCCAGCTACCAACTAGCCCTAAACGACACCATCGCAACCCGCCTCCTTACCCTCTACCCCAACACAACTACCTTCGGCATCCCCTCCACCGAGGAGCTAGGCGACACCAACATAACCTTCCCGCAACCCTACGGTGCCAGCTTCCGGCAGACAGCCGCCTACTACGGCGACCAGGTCTTTATCGCCTCACGGCGACGCACCTGCGAGGTCTGGGCCGCCCGCGGGATACCCGCCTACTGCTACCGCTTCAACACCAAGCCGGCGGGTCTCGCGTGGGAGGTCGGGGTGGAGCATTTCTCCGACGTGGCATTCATATTCAACAACCTCGCGGGGGAGGGCTATGACCCAAGTCCCTTTGCGGGGATGCCCGCCAGCTACGCCGAGCTTAGCTATCTGATGGCCGGCTCGTGGGCGAGCTTTGTCACGAGTCTTGATCCTAATGCCTGGCACGGGCGCGGTCGTAACGCAACCCGGGACGGGGTGCAGTGGCCTGTCTATCGTGTCGAGGCGCCGGAGATTGTCGTCTGGGATGCGAATGTGACTACTTTTGTGGAGCGGGATGATTGGCGGAAGGAGGGGATTCGGTTGATCCAGAGTTTGGCGTTGGAGTATGGGCGGTAAGCTTTGTAGATAGTGGGCTTGATTGTCTCATTCAGTAGTGATGATGGTGATTGATAAGAAATGAGAGAGACAGAGAGAATTATGACTGGGACGACAGGCGGCAAGTAGTTTCAACATTCAATTTCGTTGAAGTAAAACAATTGGGCACTCAATTCTGGTTTCTCTTCTCCTTCCTGACAATGAGAAGACTAGTATGTACGGAATAGAATTGCTAATTGAGCAACTTGCAAGTTTTACTACCTTGCGGGCAAGATATATGATTAGAGTAAATTGTATCGGAACAAGAGCTTAGTAATTACATACATGCTGATAAGTCCAAAAGTAGTCACAAAACATCAATACTCATAGTGAGAAGGTGAAACTGTGACAAGCCAGGGGTATTCTGGTCATTATCTTACGATGCTTAACCTACATTGGCTTCAAGGGACGCAGCTTCGTCTGGGCTGGGATCAAAGTTGACTGGCTCAAAAGGTGCGTGAGTGGGTCCTAGCCCACCCGGAGGCTAGGTAACTTATGACTTGGTATCAATAATAATCACACAATTATAGGTCTCGACCGTGAGGTATCTTAACCTAGTCGAGCGATAGACTCATAACCGAGTTATTTAGGCCATCAATCTAGGTAAATTGGGGTATCGACTCGCGACATTAGGGTCCACTACGTATGCCAGGCTAGTCTGCCGGCCTTTATTAACTGGGGGCCAAAATGTTCCTAACTTTCTCTCCAGCACCTGTCACTGGTCCAGAAGGTGGAAAGCTGGGGCAATAATCCCGTAGCGCATATCATCGAACGTTTCCGTAGGCTGAACAGTACCCTTCTTCACCCACGAGGTTTGTTCGAGTCATCCATTCGTTGACTTTTTCTTACTGCCTGCTCCACTTTCATCGTTGCTCAAATTCTCAAATTAGATAAAGGTCGCAATGTACTGTACACAGCTTCGTCCCGCGCAGCTTCTGTTTTAGCTCTCTTCCACCTTCAATATTTCCTTCCTTCCTTCTTTTTTGTTGTTCCATTTCCCGCGGAAAGCCTGACTCAAACCCCATCCGTCTACCCTAAAACCTGCAATCCAGCTCCGGCACACGGCATTCGTTTTTCCTATGGTACGCCCTCTGCTGATTCTTGGAAGTCACTGCATTCGAAATACTGCGCACTAGACAGTCTCTTACAATCCGCGTGACCAATAGGAGCGGGCATATATCGAAGATGACCCCCACAGCCAGCCGGAGGTCACATCTCACAGCCATGGTCATTTCATCTCGACTCCCGAGTCGAAGACACCACCACTTTTCGTAGTCGACGCGGAGTTGGCGGCCCAGAGAGAGCAGCAGCAGGCGCTGGTTGAACACAGAGCGAGCCGCCGGACATTTGGAACGCGGCGATGCTGGGTGCTGAGCGGCCTAGTAGTCTTGGTTGTCGTAATAGTGGCGGCCGTGGTGGGTGGCGTGGTCGGCAGTCAGCACAAGACACACACCGAGAATAAAGATGTTGCGAACAGCAATCACTCATCTACATCAACTACGACCGTGTCGAGTACAACTCACGCGACGACCTCTGCACAAACAACGACAGCAACGACGAGATCAACGACGACAACAACAAAAACAACCACCCAATCTAGCTCCACCACCGAGGCCTCAGTTATTACCGCTCCAACTCAGAACAGCGCCTACCCTGCCGTGGTGAAGATGTATGCTAACGATACCTGCGGCGGCGATGTGGATGTCTTTGCCGTGACACGGAGCAATGTCTCTACCTGCATGGCGGTCACGTCCGATAAGACCTCGCTCCAGGTGACTCAGAATAAGTACGTGTTCTGCGATATGATCTCCAATGCTGTTTTCTGTATGTTCACTGACATTCTTGATCGGCGTAGTGGCTGTGTGGTGGAAACGTGGAGCGGGTCTAATTGTGAAGGAAGCTCCTACAATGTGACGGACCTTCAGTGCCATGCTGTTCTGTATGCGGCCGTCTCAATGGATTGCTAAGATTTAACATCAATGAAATCTGTACAAATAAGCCTCTTTGATTATAAGGCATCAGTTTCCATCGGTGTTACCGCTATTTGACGAGTTAACGGTGTCACAGCGCATACAATCATCACGAGACACCTGCTTCTTCGGTTCGATCCTCAGCGCATTCTACCAGTCTCATATTTCATCTGAACTTTGATCGATGGTCACTATGTCTGAGCTAATCACTCGAGTCGAGCCACATACCTGAAATCTGACGTCCACACTATTTATGGTTCTCCAAATCTATCCAACGCCAGCGCAGCTGCACATAATCCGAGATTCGTTGAGATTGCGCGCATGAGCCTGGAATTGCGTCCCCTGTGCTAAAGCTCCTCCGGCTCGGGTATATAGATAACAGGACTTCACATGCCTTGTTTTGGAAAAACAATCTCTGTGACTTTTGTTCGGAAAACTGGCGCTACTCAAATATAGATAGTCCGATACAACTTTATGGGGGGGGAGGGGGGGAAGATGGGAAGGGCTTTGGGAAACATGCGGGTGGACGGAGAAGCACCGGAACAGATCTGGTTCAGCAAAATGTTGCGTCCACATGCCAAAATCAGCTTTCAAGAAACCTTACAGCGGCAACTGGCGGATGAAGGCGTCAAGACAGTGGTCACGGACTCGGACAAGAACTTCCCCGCTACCTCCGCAGCTAATCACCAAGGCGCTGCTGCTCTTTGATGTTTCTTTACAAGCGGGGAAAAGACCGCGTAAGCAGAACAGAGAGGGTGAAGCCGAGTATGTCTGAGGTATTCGGTCGCGGGATGGCAGGGAACAGGTTTATTGAGAGCGGTTTTGAGTGAGGACATTAGCGGCTGTCTCCTGGGCGCATGTTGAGACCTTGCGATATACCTGATTCCACTCCTAATAGACAGCGAATATACTACGGCTCTCTAAGGGGAAGAGACAAAGAACGGTTGGACATGCCGCCTATCCTCAATTTCTTTTGAATGGAAGCTACACCTTAATGCATAGATTCGATTCACAAGCCTCGACGATGAATCACATGACTAGGTGAGAGCCCTGAAAAAAAGCTCAAACCTCCGGCAAAATAAGCTTTGGGAACCAGCTACTCTTCGATAGGGACGGGGCCGATTTACAGTCTGTGCTTTGCGCATGCTTGACCCAATCCCCAGGAATAACATAAAGCCTACGCTTTCGGGGAGTGAGAATCATACGTACTGTCTTGCGGTCGCTCGAGGCCAAGTTGCTTAGGGCGCTGCGACCACCGTCAGTGCACCCCTCGTAGGTCAAATGGGGTCAAAGAAAGTTGGCCGAAAGGAACTTCGACCAGCTGCTTGACAGTAGGCTTTAGATGTTTCCGATACACGTCTTCAGTCACAAGTCTGAGCCTCTTGCAGATTCAAGGCGCTAGTTGAAGATAGTTGTCCATAATGATACAGTCACTTATGTCTGGATGCAACGCAATGAGAAGTTATCAGCTAGGTTCGAGTGAAAGAGATCTGTAGTACGGGATGAGTGGTTGGCCCTGGTGCCTGAGGCAAGAACACCTCGGAAGATGAACAGTAGATCCCCACCTCCTCTTCTAGCCTTTCGGAGTAATAGTAGGAGGAATTTCGAGCTTCACTAAATACGAACCAAAAAACAATCATCAGTATTCTGGGTGACATATCTGTACATACTTTGTGTTGGAATGTTCTCTGAGGGAACTATATGCCCCTGCTGATGTATGAGTTCTAATAAACGCTGCCACCTCTATTTATTACCCGAAGACTCACTAATTCCCCCATGACCAATGTTTGAAAAGTTTAGGTTTAAGTCATCAAGAGTAGTTCGAGTAATGGGTGCTAGAATTAATCCAAGCTCTAATGATCTTCCAACCCTGCTATGGCTGCCTTAATGCTGTGATGCCTCGCTGCCTTAGTGCCATGCCGCGTTGATACTTTGATGCCTTAGTGCCTTGCTGCTTTTCCGAGCTCCTCGCCCATGCCCCAGTAAAGCCTCGCCGGGCACCTTTTTGGCACCATCCAACAACCCCCATGCTAAAACCTCGAGAATCGTATATCAAAAAAACCGCGAGATCGAGGGAAAGCTCCCTGTGTCATCTAAAAAGTACCAGAGCTGATGCTGGCCTCTACAGCGCTGGCAAGCGGTTAGGGGCGCAGGTTCATAAGTCATTTTAGAGGAGAATCTATCGCATCCGAGGCGATATCAAAGGAGAAATTACTTTGAGGTCGCCTCGAATGTCCATAATGTCCTTACCTAACTTTTTGGCCGCCTAAAGGTCGAGCGTTCAACCCAGGCCGGGGGCAGGCACTTGAATATCTGACTTTTTGTCGTTGATTTCCATTCGCATTTTACCCTGTAGATGAGGTTGCGGTTGCGGGGATGTTGTATACTACCGGAAAGCGCGGGATCGCCTCTTTCGAGACCTCCGCGGCTGGACGATGGAGTTCGATGTTGAGGCACTCTTTTGATGGGCTTTAGGGGGCTCTTTCGAAGCTGTTTCTGCTTGATTTTCCCGCGATCGATTTGATCTGCGAGTAATCGGGAGGACGTATGTCAGTCTGATACCAGAGATGATGCTATCCCGGAAGCCCATCACAGCACGTGACCTTACCTCGCCCTCGCACACGCGCGGGAACCACGTCAGATTTCGCCCTCGGGCTGTCTGAACTATAATTCGTCATAGCGTATTGATATGCTTCGCATTGGTGACGATTTCCTTTTTTTTTTCTCTTTGTGTCGAGTAGACTAATCATTGTGGAGGTCAACAATCAGTATTCAATATCATTTATACTGGAGATGAAGGGTTTTGTTCTAGATATAGGAATGGCAAATTCGACATCGATGAACATCACCGGTCTCGTTTGATGTGAGTAATAATGGCACTCTCAGTGTTGTCTATGCCAGGCCAGGTCAGATATCGCTGGCCGGTTCTCAAGCCAGCTGGACAAAACCTTGCTTGATGCTCTCTACAGTACCTCGTGATCTTGAAATGAGATGTGTACGGAGTTGAAGGGC